AATGTGTACATTAAAACACATCAGATACAAAATATTTGAAATTGAGACGTGCTTAGAAATGCGCCCAAATGTTGGAACATGAAGTTGAATCAAGTCATGACAAGTTTAAATCTCCGAAGGTCACAATATAACTATTGTTTATTTGTGAATAACAACATATCCCCTAGTATTATTTGTTGATGATGCTCTGAAAATTGGACCAGAAGATCAAGTCAAGGACCTTATTAACAATATGTTTCAGGAATTTAAAATCAAATCAATGTATGAAGTGAAAACATTTCTTAATGTTCCATATTGAAGATTGATATGTAGTTTAATATGTATCTATCTTTAGTGACCAGACCTGATATAGCATATAGCGTTGCTTATTTGTCCCGTTTTTTGGATAAACCCAGTAATATTAATTGACTATATGGACTAAGGTTTACTAGATTGGACAATGAACTTATAGGTGAATGTAATGCTGATTGGGGAGGTGATCATCATACTCGCAAGAGTGTAAAGTGGATTTGTATGTTTTCATAGAAAAAATTCAATAGCCTGGTATTCAAGAAAACAAAACTGTGTCGCAATATCCTCAATGAAGGCAGAATACATTTCTGCAGGACTGGCAGCACAAGAACGATTAAGGGTGTTCTTAATGACTTCACAGGTAATGTGTGGCCAAGCAGTGACTTTGAAATTAGACAACTTGAGTGCCATATCTATGATAAAGATGTGTGAAAATTCTAAGCAAACATATAGATATAAAATATCATTTTATCAAAGATCTATATTTGATAGGGAGTTTTATTTTTTAAGTATGTTTGTTCTGTAGCAAACTGTGCAGATATGTTTACAAAATCTTTAGGAAAAGAAAAATGTGTAAAGTTTAGATCTTGCTTGTTAAACCAATGTACTAGACTAAGTAAAGAAATTGCGAAGAATGTGAATTTGTTAATACGTCTAAATTGAAGGGTTGTGTTGGATATGGAAATTCACGTTTTACCATACATATTGGCTATGGGTTCGTTTATAGTTTATAACATCAGCGAGCAAAATAAGTAAATTTTATTGACGGAAGTCAGGTGACCACTTATCTTTTTTCATGTGTCAAATCACGTGACATTTGTCAAAATTTGCTCTTTTTGCTCGTAGATGTAATAAACGAACACAGCCATTATTGTTTTACCTGTTTTTGTAGTGACGTTAATTTCTGATAGATTGTCTAATGTAATGTCAGATGAAATAGTTTTTTGTCTCAATTATTAATTATTATTAGTCAGTTTTTCCTGTTATTCCACATTTCACATTATGTATATCTTCTACTACTCCAGTGTATCATTTTTTCTATTAACTTCAAGAGATTTTAAGTATTTTGAGCCCTTTGGGTGCTCTACAGTACCTTGAAAGTTTGTTGTAAAATCTCGATACCATCAGTTTGAAATCAAAATTCTCAAAAGTGATTCAGTAAAGTCGCTTGAAACTATCTTTGATTTGAATTTCAAGTATTTCAAGCCTTTTATGGGCCAGTCTACAGTTTTTCGAAAAACTCATAATGTGGCGTCATTGATAGGACAAAAGGTACGATGGACATTTTCTTAATGTCCGTCTAACGTAGAAACGTCCCGAGGACTAAAATGGAACGTTTGTTCAAGAACGTTTTTAAAAACGAAATATGTAAACGTTTTTTTTAATGTCCCTGTCAGATTGTTTTCTGGAAAGGTATAAAAAGGATGTTTTCTAGACGTTTGATTTGACGTTAAAAAGTTAGGTTTTGTAACATACGATGTCTTCAAGGTAGTAAGCAAGTCACGTCTTTGTTATGTTTATGCATGTAAGGCTGGGTAACAAAGGTGTCAAATGTGAGTGAGTGATATTGTCACTGATGAACATTTGACAACGTGTCAAGTAAAAACATATTTTTGTCAAGTCAAGTGGATCTTGAATAAAGAAACTTTTCTACATCCCCTTCCCAATATAAACGATCTTCTGTCAGAACTGACTGGTGGTAAGGTTTTTTGTACTTTTGATTTATTGAGTGCTTATCAACAATTGCCTGTCGATCCCTCATCTCAGGAACTTTTGACTATAAACACTAATTTCGGTCTATTCAGATACACTTGGCTAACTTATGGCATCTTTAGCGCTACCGCTATTTTTCAGAAAACCATGGACAAAATATTGAACAGGTTAAATAATGTCTATGCTATCTGGATGATATTCAGATTGTAAGGATTTTGCTGAATGGTGTGAAAATTTGTATCAAGTGTAACAACGGTTGTCGGAATTCAATCTGAAGATTAGCGTAAATTTTTCGTGAGTTCTGTGGAATACCTGGGTCATAAGATAGATGCAGAAGGTATTCATCCTACATCTGAAAAGGTTGAAGCGATTGTGAATGCCCCAGTCCCTAAAAATCTGTCTCAGGTGAGAGCATTTTTGGGGTTACTAAAGTTCCTGCCAATGCTATCTGTATTGAAGCCTCTGTATCATTTATTAGAGAAGGGTGTGAATTTTAATTGGAATACAGCCTACAGGAGTAACTAAGTACTCGTTCATTTCGACCCGGAGAAGCCACTCAAAATGGTTTGCGCTTCTAGTTCGTATGGAGTTGGTGCAGTGTTGTGCCACTTTGAAGATGGGTTCGATAGACTAATATGGTTTACATCTAGTATTCTGTCAGAAGCAAAGAAAAACTACTCTCAATTAGAATGTGAGGCATTTGCAATAGTGTTTGGAGTTAAGCGAATTCACAAGTTTATGCATGGTCGAGAATTCATTTTAGAATCAGATCATCGGCTTCTACAAATTATTTTCAATCCATCAAAGTCATTGCCAACAATTGCAATATCTAGAATTTAAAGATGGGCGGTATTTTTATCAGCTTACAATTATAGAATAGTGTATAAGAAGGGTTCACAGATTGACCATGCTGATGGGCTCTCAAGATTGCCCTTGAAGTCTCCGACACAGGTACTTTACATTAATTTATCCAAATTATTAGAAAGTGTACCGATTTCTTCTTATGATATTGCTTTCCACACCAACAGAGATAGAATTTTATCTAGGTTTAAGGATTTGTCTATAAGAGGGTGGCTGCAGTCTGTTTCTGATTCCGAGTTGAGACCTTGTTTTTTCAAAAGGAAGGAGCTATCAGTGGAGAAGGGTTGTTTTTTGTGGGGAAGCCGTGTCATTGTTCCAAATTCTCTAAGACTCAATGTATTTGGGTGATCAGGTCCAAAATGCTTGTTCGGTCTATGTTCTGGTGCCCAAATCTTTCTGAAGAAATTGAGAATTTTATTGGTAAAATAGTTGCGAATCCACGTTGATTTTTTTTGAAAAGGATTTATATAAATTTTTGATACTTTTTGATAGTTATTCAAAGTGGATGGATATATACATTCAATGCCAGTTATGGCTACCATTGGCTTACCAAACCAATTAGTCAGTGATAATGGCCCTCCATATAGTGTGGCTGAATTCATCAAATCCTGTCAGGCTAACGGCATTGAACCAATTTTAACTCCTCCTATTCATCCTTCATCAAATGGAACAGCAGAAAAAGGCGTACAAGAGATTATTAAAAAAAATTGTTGAGACAGTTATATGATGAGAACAAAGCTAGATATTCTTTATCTATGTCAGCTAGATTAAGCCAATTTCTGTTAGCCTATAGAAATACGCCTTCTACGTCGACTGGGTTGTCATCTTTCAAAATAGTGTTTCCAGGTGTTGAGTCAATTGTTTGTAACCGGAGAGAGAGAGTGTTGGTAAAATTTAGGAAGGCTGATCAGTTCTGGGTTTATGATATTGTTGTAGAGGTGTTGAGTGGTGTCCCTTATTTAATTGAAGTTAATGACATTATAAATTCAGTACATGGTTGTTCATCTTTTGTTAACTTGGAGCCAGCAGAATCTTATCAGACATCTGCACCTGCTGATTTTCCTCCGACATAACCCACCACATAGCCCTTATCAAGTTCTGAAGTGGTAGCAGGTTCCTCAAAATTCATTGGAGAAACACAGAAAAGAGTTTCACTGGCCGCGTCAAGTTCTATAACTTATAATCCAGGCAGATTGCCTGAGAATAATTAGGAGACAGCATTGACAGTCTCAGATACTGCGGGTTCGACTCCATTGAGGAGATCCACTAGGGTTCCGAAACCTGTAACTATAGACTAGACTTGTGAATTTTTTTTTAATTTTGTAGGTTTTTTGTTGTTCTTTTTTGATTAAAAAGGGAAATAGTGTTATGTTAATGCATGTAAGGCTGGGCAACAAAGGTGTCAAGTATTCTGTAGATGAACATTTGACAAGGTGTCAAGTAAAATATATGTTTTTCAAGTCTTAAGTGGATTTTGAATAAAGAAACTTGTCTGCAATTATGTGTTGTTAATTGCTATAAGTACAGGTTTAGCTAAATACACAGCAACTTCCAAATGAATTTTGGTTCTGTAAGGATCAAATTTTCACACTTTCCCAGTTTCAAGAATATTATCGCCGGGAATAGAATCCTGATGCTTTTTCAATTCAACGTTCAGCCATACCTACAAGATTCAAAAATGAGTTTTTCATAATTTTTTAAATAGAAAATACTATAAATTTGAAAAGGTTTGAGAGAAATGAAATCTTGAAAGAATTGAGGAATCAAATTAAATAATCAGGAAGCATCACGAGGTTCCTGAACCTGGAGATGAACCTTAATTGTGACTTGGAAAAACCTTAGAAATTATATAATTAGTTAAAGTATAGTTACGTAGATTTCTACTTTAACTTTATATAGCTGTGTTTATAGTGGAACTTTTTACAACTTCGAACAATTTTTTCAAAATAAATACATCGACGCATCAATTCAACAAAAGTGTCCTAAATTCCTAAATTCAATCCTGTACGAATCTCAATCTCAAAACACTCCACAAGTGTAGATCCGGTCTGACGTTACGGCAACGTTGCAGTTACGTATATTTAATGTGTGTGTGTGGTGTGTGCGTCCGCCCCCTCCCTCTCGCTTTAAACTGAAGTCTCATTTTGTGTCTCTCGACGACGACTTGACTGCAAGGCGACCGAGGAAGCAAGTGCGACTCTTGTGTCGAACGCGGTCGTGCTCGGAAGGACCAGACAAAATCTTTTGGTAAGGTGACAGTAGAATTCGTGCTCTGTCACAGTTACCGAAAAGTTGTGGATTACTATTCAAATTTGAAAAAAAGACTGACATAACGCGGAAGTTGTTGAAAAACTTGCCGATGATATACTGGTGCTACATGTGCTATTTGCTGACTGACTTTGTGGATATTTAAAAAAGTCAACGTGGATTTAATAAAGGTAAATATAAGTTATTATACAATTTTTGATTGGATGAACTTAGGAATACCCATAAACACGCCTCTGATATTTAAATTATTAATTGTCAAGTGATTGAGATTACTTGGAAAAAAATATCGTCATGAGGTTAGGTATTTGGAAATTCCCCCACAGTTGCGCTCCACTTTTAGGAATGTTCTCACAGAAATCACAAACTAGTCAGAACGTTTTTGATTGGCGCAAACAGTATTTTCAACCAATGAAATTCACTCTGGCTGGTTTGTGAATTTTGTGAGAACAGACTTTTTTGTTGCATCACAACCTGTTGATTGTGCAGTTCTTAGTTCTTGGTACAAAAGTTGCGAGACATAGTTGATATTGATGATTATTATCAGTCAAAAGCCAATGGTTGTTTTAATCGCTACCTTACCAAAAGTTTGATGGGTCTTCCCAATTCCAGTTAATTCGAACTTGTTGAGTGTCGATGGGTTTCTGGTTTCAGCTAAGGAATGTCAATGAAAACTGGCGGAAGGATGAAATCTATATATGAAATCGAAAACTGACCATTAGGTGTAAATAATTTAAAAAACTTACCTAATTTATTTTCACCCATAAATTCTACAAAATTTTTCCTCTCTATCCAGCTTTGTAGGTCTATGTATGGCATTATTGAACGTCCTGGATTTTCGTCCCAAAAATTCTCGAGAAAATTCTATTCTGTTGTCCATTCCATGTATCGATGCCTCCTATATTCAATAGAATTGTTACATCAAAATAGAATTGTTTCTATTGTTATCCTATCCTGGCACAAAGCTCCACAGTGTTAGATTTTGAAAACATTTCAATTGAAGTCAACATTCCAGGATTTTCACTGGGCAAAATCGTTCAATAATCCATAACATTCACACATAGTTTTACCAGATTTCATTTTTCTAGAAGGTTTGTGGTAAAAATAGCCATTACTTATGTTTTGAATGAAGATGATGAAGATGCATGATAAAAGTTGACAATGTTATACTTTTATAACATTTTCAACTTTTATCATGCATCTTGCCTAGGAAATCCTATCACAGGTGAGCAAAAATATAAAAAGTCTCGTATTCATGTTTGGTGATATTTTGTATCCCATTTCTTGAAGAATCTATTGGGTTTTATTCAGTATCTGAAATTGTTTCTTGGGTCTACAACATTCAAGATTATGTGATTAGTTTTAATCACTTTTTTCACTTTTTTGAAATCAGCTCCTTCTTTGGACTAGGCTTTGTGTTGTTTTGCGACAGAGGAGATTCCTTGCAGAAAATTATGCTACCTTACATTGAGAAAATAACAAATACATAAACATGCGATTCTTCAGGTCGTTTTAGTCTCTTTAAGAGATCAGAGCGATTGACAAAAATCCGGCTAATTGTATTATAATGGACAGAGAATTTGATTTCTGATGTTTTTGGTATGGATATTTGTGTGAGTATTTGTGTTTTTAAAGTATACCTACCTACCTATTTTTATGTATTAAAACCTACAGAAGTATCAAAGAGCAGCTAAGAATCCTCCTGCATTTGTTTGAGAAAAATTGGGATCTTTAAAAACATTGTAAAATGATACAGAACATTTTAGAACCAATTTAGAATTTCAGAAACATTCTAGAACAGACTAGAACACTTCTAAAGTTTCGGAAACATTTTAGAAAGCTTTTGGAATACTCTAGAACACTTCGCAAATCATATGGAACTTTTGGAAACAATCCAGAACTGAAAACTATCAGAATATCTTGAAAATTGTCACTAACTTAAAACTCCGATGAACATATTAGAACACTCTAAAACACCACCTCTGAACTTATTTAGAATTTCAATTAGAAGTATCACAGAGGGGAGGAGATTATTGATAAATTCTAGAACATTTCGACGCTTCAAGAGCATCAAGCAAGCAACCAATTAGGAATGTCAGAAGGTATTTTGAAAAGCTTCAGAATACGCATGTGCCAATTTGGAACATTTTCAAGCATCTAAGGTTGCTCTAGAGCACTTAAGAATAAATCTAGAACATTGATAAGCTTCAGAAGACTTTCAATTTAATTTTTACTCCCCCTGTATTTGTTTCAGACAAATTGCAACTTGCAAGAATAGTGTAAAACGTTACAGAACACTTTTGTTCGAACTTTTATATCACAATCTTTAGTTCAATAAGACTATTTAGGTACACAATTTCATTTATTAATGTCACCATGTGATTTTAAAACTAGACAGCATGAGTACATCCCAGTCAAAGAGCCAATGGCTCTAAAAACCCTGGGATCCATCAACTTGCATTGGTTAAGGCTAAAGGCTAGAACACATCTCCAATGCTCAGAGCACCTTATGGAAGAGCTAAAAAAAATATTTTGGAGATAGAGTCTTAAACAGACGAAAAGGTTCAAGTCGATCTCAGCAAAAAGATCTGCGACTAAATAACATGAGCAGGTGGACATCAGCTCTGTGATTGCCAAGGAGTGAACATCATATGACCCAAAAAGTGGGATTCCATCAATCGTGGACACCAAGAGTGATGCACAAAATATCTGGAGCAGCTATATCAGTCCAAACGACTGCAGATGCAATTTACAATTGTTTTTGTATCTCTTCACTGTCTGATTTTTCAACTTGGAAAAGTATATTTTTGCCATCTTACTCAATTTTCATAGGTATCCTCTGGTTTTTATCGCAGAAGACAAGGCCATCTAGAGAGAATTTTGTGAAGATTTTCTCTCACTGATCCAATCCAAGAATTTACAATTACTCGTGTTAACTTTGTTGGTAATTCTTTTCAATATTAAGTCTTGCGAGTTGTTCGACAATCACGAGTTTTGGATCTACAGGGGTGTCCATCAACTCAGATTTTCAGTTATAACCTAATCGTAATGTAAAATTTACTGAACCAGGAAACTAGAAGAGCTATCGGAACGAAAATTTGTCTCATTGTAGATCTCAAAGTTTCAGCTTTGAGGCTCAACATCTCAAAAACTATTCGAGATAAATGATTCAATTTTGCTTTACTTTGAAGAGTGTATAATTCTGATTGGAATTTATGAATATGCATCAGAATTTGTGGAATATTATTTGGGTTATGAGCGATTTTGTAAGGCAATGTTGGATGATCAAAATTTTTCATTAATGTGACATAAATTTTACATCTACTTGAGCATGAAAATGACATTATGCAATGCAATTAAAATAGATTTCATCTCATTTTGACTTGAATCTTTTTTTATGTACCTAGCTGTGTTCACTGGGAGTGTGCTTAATCAAAAATCGATGAAAACCTTCCAAGATATCGCTTTCCATTGAAATGAAATATTAAATGATTTTTGAGGTTTTCGAACATAAGCAACCATTTGCAAGATTTTTTGGGTAACGTTGACTCAGAATGGTATTTTCAATTCAAATATTTTTTCACATAGAGATAAACATTTCTACCATCCAGAAGGCCTTGAAACAAACAAAAATCATTAGAAGATGATTGCTCAATAATTATTATTAATAATGCTGAAATTCCTAGAGCATATTTCCAAATTCATTGCCTACGTCATTCATCCACATATTTGCTCTATGACAATATTTTGCAACGCTGTCGTTCTGTTCCCGGATAAATTATTATTGGTCGATTACGCTACACATTTTATGATTATTTATTAGCTCCAGTGTGGGAGTGTTTGCAGTTCCGTTTGAATTTTTATCTTTCTAGATTAATATTTCTTCATAACATGCAGAGATATTTGATTATATGCACATAGTTTAAACAAATATATACAAGAAAACTATTGCCTTCCTTTATTAAAAGACTTGAATACAGTATAGCTTTTATTAATGAACCGCTAAGTACATGCATTCAAATTGTAACAATGTCCATTTATGTCAATGCCATTGAACATGTGCCACCAGTATAGGTACACTTTGTTTTTTTTTCTTGGTTTTGTTTATACGGAAATCGTTGAAGCAAAACGAGTACCTACCTATTTATATTAACTGTAGATCAAAGCATTCCATTATTTTAATCCTCAAAAGGCTTTATCAGCACTCTTTTAACAACAATGGGTGTTATTGTGGCCTGTTATCTTCAAGATAACCGCCTCAAATTCAGGTACTAGGATCCGGTCGTAAAGCCATTTAATTTATCAACTTGATAAGTTAAATAGTTTGTATTTTTCAAGAAAATTCCTGGTTAAAATTTACATAATACCATTATTAATTGCACTGAAAACAAATTGAAGCACCCATAAACCAACAAAAGTCCTTTCAGATACCCAACAAAAGCTTATTGTGGGCCTTCCAGGTATATATGATCTTCTTCGAACACCTGCATGTCCAAAGAAAGAGCCACTCAATCACAATTATGAACCTTTTTTAAAGGGACCCTTGTATAGAAGAGATTTGAAAGCGTCATCATTTCAATGCCTATGAACATTAAATGTGTGGTGGTTTAATTGCAAAAATGTGTGTCGTAATAACAGCCGTTTCGACACACTTGTGAAAAACTCATCCAAGTAACGTTACGACATCCGCTAGCATCTTTACAACCGTTCTGTAAAGAACCGACCTAGTTTGGAGACGTTCTCGGAAGCTCAATTATTGCCTGCTGAGGCAATAAAATTCACGAATTAACGGATAATTATCTATAGCGACTTGGAGTTTGTATACGAATAAAAATTATATAGAACTTCAAATGAGGAGAGGTTTGATTTTAATGGGGAATTTTTGTTACAGTTTTGATAGTTGGTTTGGAAATTTCTGTGATTCTAGGAACTATGCTCTCAAAGTTATGTATCTCTCTAATAGAGGGCAACATATCATTCAGTTAAGTTTCTCTCTATTAGATAGTATAACTGTCGGTTGTGCTGACTCATTTCTACGGAGGTGGATTTCTCAGAATTGTAACTATTATGTGCTTTTTCGTGAAGGATAATCAACACATACTCCTCTATAGTCAAAATTCCCTACATTGATCACGATCACTTTTATTTTAGTTTTCTACATTTAAGTATATAAAAGATTTCTCAAATATCCATTTAAAATACTTTTATATTTTTTCATTTGTATTGACATGATCTACACATAAAAGGATAAACACGAGGATAAACATGTAATTTTGTAAAGATCAAATAAATAAATTTCAATTCTCCTAAAACTTTCCTCACTTCCTCTGTACTTTCCAGGTAGTTTCCCTTTCTGGCCAATGGAGAAATCATCTACCAAATTTCATGTAGAATTTTTTACTAAACTCCCTCTATTGCTGTATATATATACTACTCATAGTTCCTCATACCAGAATATTTTAAGAAACATCTGTCTCCATTTGATTCTCCTTCAATTTCCTTTACACTTCTTTGGGTGGAAGCAGAAACTTTCCAGGTAATTGTCACTGTGGGAGACTAAAATTAGGTAATGAATTGAGGAGGAAATTCTTTGAAATTCAATATCGCTTGTTCTCTATTTTCTAAACTGAAATTTACTCGATAAAAGTATGACCTGAAGGGGTTAGTCACAACATATTCAAGTGTACAAGAGATATCTTTATGCAAAAGATATATCCACAGATTACCCGCCGGGAATCCCCCCAAGATTTCTTCACAATTTCCTTAAGTCTTCCAAGTTTTCGCTAGGTCTCCCTAATTTTTCATGGAATAACCAGCATAAGTGCACAGACAACATGTGTATTTTCTCTTGATATACTACTTCCCTGGATCCTGGCAATACCAAAGCCACATTTATTACAATACCTGGGTAACATGATATCCTCTCGAATATTCTCAATCAAATAGAAAATTAAATTCTGAACGCCCGCACGGTCTCACTCAGTAAGATTTCTCTCAGTTTTCCCCTGATATCCCTAACATCTTCCATGGATCTCCTCAGATTTCTCCGAATCTCCTCAGGATTTCCTTCAGATGTTCCTGAATCTCTCCCAAGGTTGGCATATACAAAACTCATTTTGAAATCCCAGTGGATTTTTGACATAGAAACCCACCATCACCATCATCGCCTTTAACTATTCACTTTTCTATTGCTTTCACGTCTGTACCGGTGTTGTTGAATGTAATACCTAGATACTCACATTCTTGACATTGCAGAATTTTCTGAACATCTTCCACTTCGAAGTTTCCGTTCTGGGTGCCTACATATAGATATTTTGTTTTATTTATATTAACTCTCAGGTTCCACTGTTGGTACTGTTCTATCAGCTTTCTAATCACATATTGCATGTCCTCTTTGTCGCATGGCCACTATGACCTGATCATCTGCAAACTGAAGAGTAAACAGACATCTATCATTTATCTCTATACTTATTCCATGAATCTTCCTCGCCCAATTTTTCAGAGCTACTGTTACGTATATTTTAAAAAGCGTAGGAGAGATGCATTAACATCCTTGACGTAGTCCTTTATTCACTATAAATGTGTTTGTGAGTTCTTTAAGTGCCGTTATATAGGTGTGATTGATGTTGGATTGTTTTAATATCCTCCATAGTCTGGATATTGGGACTGTATCCTATGCTTTTTGTAGGTCCACAAATGTGAGGTGGGTTTCCAAATGTTCCAAATATACCTGATCTTCCTGCTTTAAAGCCGCACTGCTCTTCTTCTTTCTCTTTGTAATCTTATTCAATGAGATCACGCAGGATTCTACCTGATATGCCCCGATAGTTATTGCAGTCCAGCTTATTTCCTTTTTTGTGAATGGATGATATAAAAGCCGTTTTCCAGTCTTGTGGAACAGGCATTTATTCATAATACATGTGAGACCTTTAAATAGCTTCTCAGTTCTCCATTTCAGCATTTCAGGGTATATCCCTTCAGGGCCGCAAGCTTTCCTTTATTTAAGATTCCTAACAGTCTTTTTTACTGTTTCATAAGATATCTCAACTACTTCTCCATGTACTTCAATATTTCTTGGAGAATCTAATATATATTCCGGTCTTTTTTCTTGTAATAGACCCTTGTAGTGTTTTATCCATTGCTCTGGATAATCTGGATATTAGCTCTGTTCTTTCCTGGGTTTTTGACATTTCATATAAATCTCCATTCCTCATCTGAGCATTTCCTTCCTCAAAAGGCGGTTACTCACGGACGTGGATGTTTTGATACATATACGTGCATACATCAACGTGCAAACAACAACGTGCATTTCGCGTTTGTACAGACGCTCGCACAAAACTGTAGTCTTGCTATTCTTGCTACAGTAATCTGAGTGTGCATACAAAATTTCTAGCGATTCCACATTCAAAAACGCAACGGTATTTTGCATACACATTGATGTTTTTGTTTGCGCGTTCATGTATGTGCGTACATACTTCCAGACATCCACGTCCGTGTGTAACCGCCTCTATGTAGGTGTTAATTTCTCCACATTTCTTATCCCATGACTCGTTCTTAGCTATAGTGATCCACGTTCTTAGTTGTCTTTTTATGTCTTTATAAACTTCAAGGTCTTGTCCATTTTTTGTTGTTAACTATTTCAGATATTTTTGCTTCTTCTCTTGGACTAATAGCTCTATCTCCTCATTCCACCAGTATTTCTTGGTATTTTTTTCCTTCGTTCCTATTGCTTCTTGGGTGGCTTCTATTAGACTCCTTATAAAGTTCTCATAGAGTTTATTGAAGGTACATTCTTCAGGGTTCAATAGTTTGCTGTCGGGCCACCTCTGATATAGAAATAATACAGTGCTGTCATCTCTAAAACTGTCAAAATTGTATTTTGTTGTATCCACTGTGTGCATTTGTATTTTGTTCCTCTGGATTTAATTTAAATGTTCATAATTTAGTAGTCTTAGGGCGGGTATTATAAAACTACTTTGAGAGTTAAGTTAAAGTTAACTTCTGGAATTACATGTAATTCAAAAAGTTAACTTCAAGTTAACTGTCAAAGCAGTTTTATAATACCCACCCTTAAACAGACAACATTTTGAGTAAAAAATAAAAGTAGTGAAGAGAAAAACTACTCCACTACACCAACATTCTTGCTCTGGATCTGAGAAATTCAAAGCTTCAAAAGTTATGAGCCAATGAAACTTCCTCATACATCTTTCTCTAAATCTGAGGCTCAGAAAAAATATGAGCAAATCATAGAATCTGAGTGCTTAAAAACTGCAAATTTGTCATCTGAGTTGAATTTAAGTTCTAAACTCAAAATAGCTGTACTTAAATAAGATGTGCCTATAGAATCTAAAACTTTTTCTGGAAGATTTCATTTCTAGAATCTTCAAAATCTTGTCCATTTAAAATACACATGACATTGTTCATCTGAGATAACTATCTTCCATTGAATATTTTTTTAAAATTTTTTGTGATTGTAAGCTACCATTTGAAAATGAAAAGTGGGAGCCACCGGGGAATACAACATGTATATCCCAAGATACTATTTGGTGACTGAAGAACATTAGATATTCAAATGTTGGAAAGCTTGGGAGAAATTTCCAGTCTTTCCATCAGCACAGCAATTCACAAAGCTCAAATAAAGAGAAATGGACCAAGAATGAAAACCACTATTCATCAATACAATAAATTGAAGAGATAATTATCCAACAACAATAAGATGCTAAAAATGTCGATGACTTGAAAGATACCAAGAAGTGGTTAATTTCTCAGAAACCGACTTTGCAAAATAATATTTTTTTTGTGTTGATCCCTATCGGCAATTGAAAACGAAAATTCCAAAAGCGACACTTCATTTGGAAACGGAACTACCTTATCACTAAAACTACAAACGATAAGCCAAAGATAGCGATATAAAAATAAACACTTAAACACACAAGTCTTACAAAATTGATATATGAAAGTCAAGAAACTATTAATTCTCTGATTCATATTGCAAGTTCCTTATTGCTATGTATGTGCAATAACACACAATAGTGGCTTGACCGAAAAAAAAGTAATGATTCCAACGCGGATAGGTTCTATTTTAAAAGGAAACGCATGGCGGTCTGAGAATAAAAACTTATAATGATCGGTAAACATAATTGAACTGACGTTCGCGGAAGTAACCCGAAGGTTAAGTCGGTTATGAAATTTGTTTGTATGCCGCGTTTTCCGGCATAGCTACGAGGCTTTTGTGTATTTGATGATATTCAATTTACCCGGAACAGCTTTATTCATTTACATGCATCTTAAACTACAATAGTAATGAGGGCAGTATGATAATATTTCACTTCCTATTCAATATAGGGAATTTTATCCATTGAATGTTGATTGATATTTAATACACATATAGATCCTGTTAATTACCCGTTTAAGGTGCCAATATTTAATTGCAGTCTTTAAAAAAAATTAACAACGTAATCGTTCAAATTCCAAGTGACTCCACATCTACAAGGTGACGTCAATTTCCTTTTCTCCTTATCATTGAATTAGGCAAATGTCGTTCAACAAGTTAATTTATTGCCGATTTTATTTAGTTTGAATACAACTGTTGCCTATAATGTTATCAACAAAGACTTGACTCGAGCTGCATTCACTTATCAGTTTTTAAATTGGTAATAACTCCTATTATAGTTAGTTTTAGTTATAATGGTGAGCTTCTAATGTAGGTTTTTTTTTTTTAATTAATCAATAATTTAATTTCAGAAAAGAAAAATGAAGTTGGTCCCAGGCCCCTTGCCACCGATCCCCACAACAACATCGGGATCTCTGTCCCTACCACTACCCTTCAGTCCAGATTTACTATGGAGATACCCGTTAGGATTCCCTTCAGTCGGAAGTCACCCTTCTTCACCTCTATGGGACTACAAAAGTCAACTCCCCGGATCTCTATCGGCCGACCCTAGAGGCTGGAGCCGCGAGGACGTCTGCATATTCCTCAGATGGGCCGAAAGAGAATTCGATTTGCAACCCATCGACATGGAAATGTTCCAAATGAATGGTAAAGCAATATGTTTGCTTACTAGGACAGACCTTTCAGAGAGGGCTCCAGGCTCTGGAGATGTCTTGCACAATGTATTGCAAATTTTAATGCGCGACGCCAATAATATGCGATTATTACCAAACAGCCCTATAACACCTACCTCAAGGCACCCATATCCGTTATCACCTCACACCTCTCAACCACCAACCCCTAGCTGGAATGTTATGACGTCGCAACAATCGGACTATCATTCTTCGCACGCTGCCAGTTTAGCTGCACATCTTATGGCACAAAGCAATAGCGTGACATTAAGTCCGGCTCCATCTGTTGACAGCCAATCAGGAAGTCCAAACCATCCAGATGCACCTGTGAGTTTTGGTCATTCGATTTTTGGAGCTAATGGGAGTAGCTCGAATGGATCTGGCTCCAACCCTAGTGATAGTGATGAAGATGACAAGTTCACCGAAATGAAAAACGGTTATTTAAGCAGTCCGCCAAACACACCTAGTTACATGAACATACCACAAATGTCTTTTTTGACACCAAGAAGCCCTAAACAAATCGAAAATGTTTCAAGTCCGGGACTTTACAAGAGGGAGTTTTTTGGTAGTGGAGACGGTTCTGAACCAAATACAAGTAAGCTGATTTCATTTTATTAATTAACTTGTTACTAAAATTATTATTATTCACAGATGGTCGTCTTCTTTGGGACTTTTTGCAACAACTCCTAAACGATCCAGCTCAAAGGTACACAAGTTACATTGCATGGAAGAACAGGGACACTGGAGTCTTCAAAATAGTTGATCCACCAGGCCTTGCCAAACTGTGGGGCATCCAAAAAAATCACCTTTCCATGAACTACGATAAAATGTCCAGAGCTTTGAGGTACTACTACAGAGTCAACATTTTGCGAAAAGTGCAAGGCGAAAGACATTGCTACCAATTCCTACGCAATCCAACCGAATTGAAAAATATCAAAAACATTTCCTTGTTGCGTCAACAAATGTCTCCTACAGCCACTAAACCACCAGCCCAAATTCAAATTATACCTCAAATAACCATTAAACCAGAACCCGTAGATCATATTAGCAAAGAACACGAACCGATGCCAGCTCCAGTACCTACGCACGTTAAACTCAGCGAACAAGTGCAAAAGCAACTAGTTCAACAACAAACGCAGCAAAAAAGTGACGAAAGATTAAGGATGGAGTATCACCATCAAGAAGACAAACCTACGGATTTGAGTATGGAAGGTCCCACGGATTTGAGTAGTGGCAATAGGCATGTGAGTATAGTATGCTCACCCGATCCACCTTTCAACGGGGCGAATCATTAGTTATTAGGAAACCTATAAGTGCCAATAGAGACAATAATTTAAGTGCAAGTTAAGTGATTGTAAAAATAGAGTTAGTTTTATTGTGCAATTGAGGTTTGTTTTATGTGCCAAAATAGAAATTACGTTTTTTTTTTACTTGGTGCAAGGAGACCAATAATAATATGTATCTCAAATGTGCAACGATGGCAGCTTTAAATAGAGAAAAATTATTTAAGTTTTTTTTTTTGTATATATGGTATAAACAAGATAAACAACGACAATAAATGTTTTTGTACAAAAAGAGATAGGACTGGAAATTTGGTTGGCAACAACATTCCATTTAAATTTGGATTTGGTGTAATTATTTATACAGGGTGAGAGATTTTGTGTTCAATACATTTTTTGGATTAAAATTAAAATTTGTGTCACTTCTTTTAAGATTGAATTATTACTGAGTGGGCTATCCAAAACGATTCAACAATGAATAGTTTACCGTAAGATTTTGCTAGTGGATAGCTCACATGGTAAATAGCCAGCACTTCTCTGTGATCTCTTGAACATATTTGACTCAAAATGAGTGTGATGTAGAGAAAAAAATATTTTTAAAAATGTTATATTATTTACACTTAAGCTAAAAGAAAAATAGCACTAGTTTTAAGTGTTGTGTGAAGGCTCTATCGTTTTTTGACAAGCATGAAGAACAAAATTATTTAACTGTACATAGAATTCTTTTGTTATAGATTAATAAAGAATAATTTTCATTTATAGTAAAATTCAAAAATGACTTATTGTGTTTTATTTAAATAGCAAATATTTGCAAATTGGTATAAACCTTCGAACAAAAAGGATGAGAGGTGCATTTTCCAAAGTTGTTTAACATTTATCTGGGGAGACTCATTACTAAAGTTTAGGGTAATCACTTATATTTTATTGACCCTCACCTAGAGGTTCAATTATATTTTGGGACTATCAGAGTCTTGTACCTACAGGGTGGTCCAATTTGGACACTTTTAATAGGAAATGTCAATTTCTGAGCGAGATATAAAAAAATTAACCCCCACTCTAAGGTTCAAATTCCATGAAATCTTCATTGGTACAAACAGCATTTTGATATCTACTATGGTACTATCAATGTCGAGATCAAAGTCAACTTCCTCTTCTAATTCAACTAGGTGCATGTGTTCTTTAATCAATAAGCATAGAAACATAATGAACAATGTGAAATATCTCCTAATGAATTTAATGCCTACTTTGCCAACATGGCACACTATCTAATAGAGGATATACCAAAGACCCATGTAGATCCTGTGTTAATCTTGAGAGGTTTCTCCTTGCCTGGGCAACCATTTCTGTTTCGGAAGGTCACTTTCAATGAAATTATAGAAATAATTCGGCCTCAAAAGTAAAAATACTATTGATGTGTGCGGTTTGAGCACCAGACTGCTGAAGTCTGTCATAAATGTAATTGTTATTCCTTTAAACAAGCTGATAAACAGTTGCTTTCGTGAGAGTATTTTTCCTAAAGTTCTCAAACATGCATAAGTTACACATACAATGGTTACACCTAAACACACAAAAGGAAATCAACATAGGTACCTGAAAATTACAGGCCCATTTCTATATTGCCTGCATTGTCAAAAATTTTTGAAAAGTGCGTGGCTAAACAATCTACAGACTTTTTTGAACATGGTAGGCTCTTTACACATTGTCAGTTTGGTTTCAGGAAGGACAGAAATGCCACTCTGAGCATAGTTGACCTGGTTTCCTATGTACCTATTGCAGTCATTTGATGAGATGGAGTACACTGCATCTCTTTTTTGCGACCTAAGTAAGGCCTTCGACTGCATCTCCCATGACATTCTCCTGCAGAAGCTTCAGGCATAGGTACTCTTTTGATCATAATAGTCTAACTTTATTGAAGTCATATCTGTCTGATAGAACCCAGGCTGTGGGGGTTGGAGGAGTGGAATCAGCCAGATGCGGCATAACTGTTGGGGTCCGACATACAGGGGTCTATTTTGGGTCGAAGTCATCAGGGAGTCTGCAATGGTGGAGAGAAGGGTCAAGAACTGGTTTGCATCAAATATGCTACTTTTAAATCAGAATAAAGATGGAGAGATTGGTGTTTTCCCTGAGAGACGTGGGTGATGCCAATAACGTTCAACGGGTGAGGTTCCTGGGCGTCCAACTTGATCTAAGAGAGTCTTTGGTCTGCAAAGAATAATGCAGGGTTTGAGTTATATGGATGTCCTAAGATGGATGTATACCATGATAGTATGAGACCTCTATCATCACGTTCGGAGCGGTAGCCTGGTATGTAGCCGAATCCAGCTAGTAACAGCTAGGAAAAGTGCAAACACTCGCGTGTCTGTGTATTAACAGGAGCAATGAGATCATGTCCAACGCGGCACTTGAAGTCATTCTAGACCTCACACCACTCCACATAATAGTGAAGCGGGTTGTTAGTGGATCATCATGTCTCAGACTGGAGAAGATAGGTCTACATTACAAAGGAAAACGCACCTTGGCAGGACTTTTCTTGTCCCAAACTGTGCACACCTCATAGATCTACCAAAAGACGTGATTGTTGATAAATTCAGTTTCGAGAAAAACGAACTAAGTCCAAAAAACAGATGGAACATGGAATCTATCCCATCCTTTGAAGCAAACACCATCAAATGATACCAGGTAATGGTACACAGATGGTTCCAGAACTGCTGAAGGAACTGGAGCCGGAGTATTCGGGCCACGGACCAGGATACTCGGAGCCAATGGGTAAATCACCAAGCATATTTCAAGCGGAACTTCGTGCGATCGGAAAATGCGTGCATTTCAACCTGAACAGAAGTTATCGGAAACGAGAGATTGTAATAATGTCTGACAGCCAAGTAGTTATCAAAGCATTGAGATCCTCGGTCATCAATTCTAAGACAATATGGAAATGTCTACAGAAACTAAATGAGCTGGGAAAACGAAACAAAGTAACCCTCCTCTGGGTGCCCAGACACATAGGTGTCGAGGGCAACGAATGCGCAGGCAGACTCGCAAGAACGGGAGCGTCTACTCCGTTCGCACCTCCAACCTTCAAGTAATCATCAGAAAAGAAGAGAACCGGCTAAGGAACAAACAATAACTAGAACAGCCAGGACTATGACCTATGACAGGCCAAAGATCTATTGGGGAACTTCAAACAAAAAGGATCAGAACTCCTGGTCAACCTTTGCAAGAAAAGTCTCAAGACCCCAACCGGGGCTTTCTCGGGAGTCGGGACATTGCAGACTTAAGAAACACCTACAGAAGTTGGGGTTAGAAGAAGGTGGCACCTGCAGATTCTGTGAAGACGGAGAAGAGACACCTCACCATCTTCTACTGAACTGCTATGCCGTTAGTCGCTCAAGGATGAGGAACCTGGGAAGTGGCCTTGAGTTTGGAAGACATTCCAGCCCTGGAACCGCTAGACATCCTAAAATTCCTAGGGGGACCTAGGACTGGATGAGGAGCTGCTTTGAGCGGGAAACCCGAACTCAGCAGCAGAAGGAGTAGTAGGGGTAATAGATCAACCTTGCCTTGGTCGCGGTGCAACTGACACCTCCAACACACACGCATGCACACACCCAACGGCAAATAAAAAGATAGTAGGTATTTTATTTCTATTCCATTTAGAAAAAAATGCGAAAATTCAAGATCCAGCAATAAACGAATATTGAAATGGAAAAATTGAGGAATAGAGAGGCGAAATTCGAGAAAAATTGAGAAGTGAACATTCATATTTTTTACTATCCCAGGCTCTTGAATTTCTTTCTCCGATGAATTTATGAACCAGGAATAGATAAAAATTGAACGGGTGATATATTCATCAGAAATTTAAAAAAAAATCAAGAGAAGTTGAGAAAAATCGGTACTTACACAAAGTATATATATCACGTTTCTGTTCCAAGCTCTAATATATTTAGAGAAATTTAGAAGATAACGAAAATTCAAGATCCGAGAATAGACAAAAATTGAAACAGGAACAGTGAGAGATAAATGAAGAAGAATGTAGAAAAATTGAGAACAAAATTAAAGATTCATTCATGTATTTTCTATTTCCAGACTCTTCAATTTTCGTTATGTCGACATATTCAAGAGCAGGGAATAAAGAAAAATTTAAAATTGAGATGAAGAAATAATTGAGAAATAGAAAGGAGGAATGTAAGAAACATCAAGAAAAAACTAGTAAATAAGTGAACATTCATATTTTTTTCTATGCCAGGCTCTTGAATTTTCGAGAAATTCAAGAGCCGGGAATAGCATAAAATTGAGACAGAAAAACTGAGGAATAAATAGAGAAGAAATGTAGGAATATTGAGCAAAAATAGTACATTGTTCTTTGATTAGAGTCATTCATGTCTATTCCCAGGCCCTTGAATTTTCTTTGTTTTGACAAAATTCAAAAACGAATAGAAGAAAATTGATCTGATATATCGATATCTACGCCCTCCAATATTGTACATATCAATACGAATTCTACATATCGACATATATCAAAAGGCTGAGTTCGGTTTTACACTCTGTAAACTCTGAACGCGTTCGAAACGATGTGTTATTAGGTGGGTTCGGGATGACTGTTCCATAAACTCCGAGTGCAATAAACACTCCCTATGCGTTCGGGTATTGTCATTTTGAGCTGAAAGAGTAACTCCACATGCGTTCGGGAAGGACGTGCGGGAGTCAAAAGAGCTGACTCTGAAAGCACCAACTCGTCATCAGCAAGCGCCAGAGCTGGTATGCGCACAGTGAGTTCGGCTATTCAGCGCGGAGTTGGAGTGGAGTGAACAGAGCTAATGGAGTCACCCCTGATACCGTAAAAAGCAATACCCGAACCTTAACCTGAACGGCTGGAGTGCGAATGGAGTCACTCCGAGTGCACGGAGTGAGCAAGCCGAACTCACGGGCAGTGTGTGTGTTTTCGTGATTTTGTGTCATTTACTCATTTATCCTATTTTTTTGATTGCGGCAATCGCCTATTCGACTAATCGATAGTCAACAAATCAATATTTAATCTGTAATTACCTGGTAAATGGATGGAATGGAATGGATTTCAAACTGCTTATCTGACATGTGAGCAGGGATGTGCGTCTACACGTAGACTTTAATTGTCTACTTTACGTGTAGACAATGGTAGACAATCCGTGCGTTCGTTATTTTGGTCCGAGTTCTCCGAGCTTGACTTTACCGTTCGTTTATTTAAAAAGTGTACTCGGTGCAGCCTCGTTCGCGTTCGTTTATTAAAATTTCTGGCACTTTTATACAGCGTTCAACTGCTCTGTTCGCTCACTGGTCACGTGATTACGGCTCCGCTCAGCACGCTCTGCTCTTTGAGCAAAATACCGAACGCAAGGAATGTAGACAACGAGTCAACAATGTAAAATAATATAAATGACGTCTAATTCTAACCTCAAACTTTCCTTTCCGAAAATTATTTTTATTTTATTATCGATTTTCCTCATATTTATAATCAGTGAATGCTGATATCAAAGTGATAGGTATTAGCTACTTGGGTAGTAGTAGTTTTGGATCTTTTTTTGAATTTTCTAAAATGGGTTTATTGTTTACGCCACATGTAGACAATGTGTAGACAAAAGGCGATTTCGGCAAGCTTTGGTTGGTATACCATTTGGTTAACCAATTGGTACCTGCAACGTCATAGTAATGACGTAAGATACCATTTTGTTCCGAATTCGTTTGGTAGGTCATGAGAGAGGAAGAGACGAGCCTTAACCTAACTTTGTGTTGTTCTTCTAGTTTTGGGAGTGACTAGGTACTGACTGCACTGACTAAAATCTATAATCACTAATCAGCACTGTCTAAACAGTACCTTTGAGTAACCTGGCTAACTCAGCGTTTTCTGTAAATTTAAAGCATATTCCATAATCCATTCAGCAAAAAAATTACCCCATATCTGTCGTTCAAAGTTATTTTTTAAATGATAGTCAAACATTATTTGGCAGTCAAAACATACGAGAAAACAGGAAGATGAAGGCGAAAAAACAAACATATTTGCTAAAAATTTCAAATTATTATTCAAATTCTAATGAACTTCCATTTATTTACATTTCCCAGAGCAGGACAAAACGAAAATAGACGTAGATAGCGCTATACCAAATAGAAGAACCGTGCTGCTGACCACGGTATCCTATTTGACAGACCAAAAAGGATACCAAAGTCACGGTGACGACATCATTTTCGTATCGGAAATTGGTTGGTATGCATTTGACAGACCAAACAGGGTACCAAACCATGTACCAAAGCTTGCCGAAATCGCCTAAATGCCCACGTAAACAATTCGAATTGTCTACGCGTAGACAATCAATTGTTTACGTTGACATTGTCTACAGGCACATCACTACATGTGAGCAACGCGTAATTTCACTGAAATTTGCAATAGTTGTATTCCTTTCACACCTAGGAGGAGCTCCGGAACAGCTCCGGGGCTTCACGCGCTTATTCCTTTCGAAAAGTGTTTGTTGCACCACGCATATGTTCCCTGCAAATCGGGGACGACTAACCGTGCGTTCGTTATTTTGGTCTGAGTTCTCCGAGCTTGACTTTACCGTTCGTTTATTTAAAAAGTGTACTCGGTGCAGCCTCATTCGCGTTCGTTTATTAAAATTTCCGGTACTTTTATACAGCGTTCAACTGCTCCCTTCGCTCGCTGGTCACGTGATTACGGCTCCGCTCAGCTCGCTCTACACTTTGAGCAAAATACCGAACGCAAGGTAAGCACCGAAGCGAGTAGCTCGAGTGTTTCAAGCTCTTGAAAGGAATACAACTAATGATAATCTTGATGACTTCTTCAGACAAGTCTCCGAAATAAACGTCCTCAACAAAATCGAATATAGGCACCAAATACCAAAAATTCATAGAAAAGACTAGAAAAACGTTTGTTTTTAAAATAATAATTGTCATTCGAGGGATAGGTTAAGTTAAGAAACTCCAAATGCACCGCCGTTCGGTTTCACTAATCCACTCCAAAAGCTTTTTGGTCACGTGATAAAAACGCCACTCCAATTCTACTCCAGCACCGCTGGGCTATCCCGAACCCAGCTCCTGGTTCGTTTTAACAGAGTTTTCACTTTTGGGATCGGTTTCAATCGAGCACGTATATATATACTCTGAGCTCGCTCTCTTTTCCCCACAGAGAGCTGTTTTCAAGTGTCACCCTTTGAGCGCTCCCGAATTACTCCGAAGTACTCCGGTTACAGTTTGACTCGTTCGGATTCAAGCGTTCGAGTGAAAAACGCAAGGAGTGTATGACAGGTGTGAAGTGTTCTTAGAACTTTGCACTCGGCACTCGAAAGCGGTTCGCGCGCAATGGATGGATGGAGAACCAGAGAAATTAGTTATCCACTGTCATTTTTGAAAAATTATAACCTAAATTGAAATCAAAACAACCCAAGAAGCAAATTCGCTTTCCGACCGTGGTGCACACATTACTTTTCGAGCAACCCTTTTAAAAACTTTTTTTTCTGCGATTGACAAGAAATGTCAGCATTTTTGACCGGTTGACAGGTCGCAAAACTCAATATTCTGGTATTTCAATTATGTTTCAATAGTTGCTAAGGAATCAATGAATAACAATACGGGAAACACTTTTCCGGCCTAGGCCGGGAAAGTGATTCTCGTATTGCTGAATAATTGGAACTAAAAGACAAACATTTAACAGGTATTTAACCGATCGCAGAAAAAATAGTATGTGTATTTCGGTGGAAAAGCACATTCTCGGCCTTCGGTGTTTGCCGGCCTCGGCTACGTCTCGCCCGTCAACTTACACCGTCCGCCGAGAATGTGTCACTTTTCCACCTAAATACACAATAGTTGTATTACTTTCACACCTAGGAGGAGCTCCGGAACAGCTCCGGGGCTTCACGCGCTTATTCCTTTCGAAAAGTGTTTGTTGCACCACGCATATGTTCCCTGCAAATCGGGGGCGACTAAGCACCGAAGCGAGTAGCTCAAGTGTTTCAAGCTCTTGAAAGGAATTTAACTAATATACTATTAATGAATATTATTTGTCAAAAAACCGTACCAAAATGGTTTAGGAACCACTCTGTATACGAATTTCGGTTTCTACGCAAAAATTTTAGGTTTTGCGTAGAATACTGACGGTAATATTACGGTTTCTTGCTCGGTTGGAACAAAGCTATTAAATTCAAAAAAATTTGATTGCCAGGCTGCGAAATGCGCACAAGGGTTTCAGGATTTTTTCCTATCTGCGTTCGGCTTATGATGACCTTGTTCAGCAGGACGCACTCTGCGTATGACGTCACGATATCCATGCTCATACCGTTCCGCTCCGTGGAGTGCAAAGCCGAACTCAGTCAAGAACAACTTGTTCGCTTTTCGTCAAACTACTCTAGTTCAAATAAAAGTTACATGGGCCGCGTTCACCAGATACAAACGTTGATAAACGGTTTGCGATTGTGCTGCTGAACGCCGCTGAACGCTACGTTGAATTTGTGTTAAAATCAAACATGTTTTGCAAACAGTCGCCATTTTTGCAATCATAATTTCAGAGTGTTTATAATTTTCAACACTGTCTTTTGTGTGGTGACCTGTCATTCAGAAGGTGACGTTCTATCATAGAAAAGTTGAATCGTTCAGCAGAACCAAGAGTTTACCCAACATATTCTGTTGGTATTTGTAAACTGTTGACAATCCGTTTTGGTTCTGGTGAACGTAGCCATTATTCGTTGGAATTCAGAACTGTGCGGTTCAAGGTCTGTTCCGAGCAGCTGGATTCAGCTGGAAGCTAGAACAGTTCTGAAATAAAGAACCGGAACTAGAATACATATGTTGGTTGCACCGTTGCGCACAGCTTTCACGCAGTTTTTGGTTTCACAACAAAAAAACAAACAAGGATGGAACGAAAACAGCAAAGAAAAGCGAGAGAGAACAATAGTGGCTATTGTAAAGAGGACTAAAAAAAAGTAAGTAAAAATAAAAATGGCAAAATAATCTGTCAGATTGCACCAGAGACGTGATGTGAAATGTTGTGTTGACAATGGATTGTTCAGTGAAAAGTGTTCCCCAAAAAGTGCAGTAACTATCGTTTATAATTTTGGTTAAACAATCCCCTAAAGACCAGAGGTAAAGAAGAATTTCCACTTCCACAATTTTCCCAAATAAAAGCCTATAGTTCTTTGTCCTTAGCTCGATTTTAAAATAATTACCTGTGTAAAATCTATTTTCAGGTCTAGATAAATCGAGTGATGTTTCGACATCTACTTTACATGTCAGGATTAGGCTCTAGCTGTAATAGAGACTGTTCTGGACGGGGCGAGTGCTGGAACGGCACTTGCATGTGCAATATCAGGTTCACTGGCGAACTCTGCGACGACCCCAACTTACCTTATCATGCTGGTATCGGTGGGGTCTTCTTTTTCATCGGTAAGTAAAATTCTAATTTTGGGAAGGCTCATTAATTTTTTCTAATAATATTTAGGTAGGTAGTTTCTTGTTAAAATTATTATCACCTTATTCTCATCCTATTCCCTTTGACTCTCAAGTCTCTCAAATGTCTCTTTTTGCTTAAAATTGTCAAATTTTGTAGTTCAATAGTAAACCAAATATACTCTTGCCCTTGCTCTTGCCAGTTCTTCAAAAAAAGGGTAACTTGGTGAGGAAATCCTATTTTTGGCAAACATTGCAAGATAGCCTTCACAATTTTGGGTATTTCAAGGATTCCTTAACAATTTTTTTTCAAGAACTACAACTTCAAATGAGCTGAAATTTTGTAGAGTTTGTACTGTTTGTAGTCCTCTACTAGGATGAGAATCGCTGAAAATTTCAGCTTTTTATCTATAATATAAAAAAAGTTATGACCTTTCAAAGTTTTCCAAAATCTAAATCATAAGGTAGCTACATCAGTATTAAAATGATGAAATTTCAAAAAAAAAATTGTTGAGATTCTGTGTCCTTATAGTCCATCGGGATCCCCCAAACTCCATACACTAAATTATTCTGAGATTTGGTCGATTTGGAATCAGAATCTACAATGTGTCCCGCTTAAGGACTGACCACCATTCTAAAATTTTTATTTTTCAACGGATTCAATAAAATAGCTATTTACCTAACAAGTGCGAAAAATATTTTCCGCAAGTGTTAGGTACAATATTTTTCCTACAGGCGTAAAAATGTAAAATTTTTCTTTTTTTTTTTGACAGATCAGTGCGGTAAAACTTTTTCCGCACTGACAGCCGTGCGGCAAAACTTTTTCCGCACTGATATGCGTGCGGTAAAATTTTTACCGCACCGTGCGGGAAAACTCATTTTCCGCACGCATATCAGTGCGGAAAATCGATTTTTCCGCACGGCTGTAGGAATTTTTTTTTTTTCTCCAAACGTCAAAAAAAACATCACTTTGTCAACACCTGTCAAGATGGTAGAAATTCAATTTCTATGTTGCTAGGCAAATCCAGGAGGTTGACATCTGTCGAGGTGGTAGAAATTTAATTTCTATGCTGCTTGGCAACCCCAGCGGCAGCAATAGTATATTACAATCCGAGACGGAAAATACTTCATTGCTGGTCGAGAGGTTATTATAGTTTATCGAGACGCGAAGCGTCGAGATAAACTCAACCTCGAGACAGAAATGAAGTTTTCCGTCGAGGTTTGTATACTTTTTTATTTTCAACCCTTAATTTTCTGATGCAAAAACTAAAGATTCTGTTATACGAAATTTTCATATAGTGTAAAACTGGCCTTAGAAAAAAATATTTCACTTTTTTTGTCAATGTCATCAATTTTGACGATCTCAAAGGCCCTGTAAAGGCCAAAACAAAAGACGAAACCACAGGAAACCGCAAAATCAACAACCATAGATAAGATCAACAACGCCTTAACGACGGTAGTTTTCGCTCAGTATTTTTGCGGAAATAATAGATTTTCACTAGATTTCTCCCCGTTCTCCCCAAAGAAATGATTTCGGAAAGTGAAGATGAAGCGATGGATTGTACCCCACCTGAATTAAAAGAAGCAGCAGACAGGATTGGAGACAGTTTGCTTCCAGCAAAAAGCAAATTTCGGTACGAAAAGGCTTTTCAAATATTCGAAGCATGGTGTAGCCAGAAAGGAACGAGAAATACTGCCTCGGAGACCGTTTTGTTGGCGTATTTTGGCGAATTATCTAAGGAAAAGAAGCCTTCGACTTTATGGTCGACTTACAGTATGTTGAAAACCATGATTAAATTGAAAGAGAAAGTTGATATCTCCAATTACGCAAAACTTATAGCTTTTTTGAAGCGGCAAAATCTGGGCTTTCAGCCGAAAAAGTCGAGCGTTTTTTCCAGAGAAAACATTAACGAGTTCCTCACGAAGGCAGCTGAAGAATTCATTAGCATCAAGGTAGGTTTTCAAAAAATATACAAAGAAGATAAAAATGCGAAAATCAAAATGATTTTCTGTATGCTATAGCTAGGTTACCCATTTTATTTTTATCTGGTTTCAGGTAGCGCTAATTGTTGGTGTGTCGGGTGCATGTAGGAGCGATGAACTAGTCAAGATGAAAATGGAGCACGTCAACGTTTTGGAAGGAAAGATCGCTATAGAAATTCCACACACAAAAACTTACACAAGTCGATCGTTTATCATAAGCGATCCAGATTGGGTTGCTATTTTCCACAAATACCTCACTTTGCGGAAAAATTTGAAAAATGACAGGTTATTTGTTCAATGGCGAAATGGGAAATTACATAACCAAGCAATTGGCTATCATTCAATCTCAAAATTTCCACATAAAATAGCTGCTTTTTTGAAGCTTCCAAAAATTGAAACTTTTACAGGGCATGCTTTTCGTCGTACTTCCGCAACCTTATTGGTTGACAACGGGGCCGATCTATTGCAACTCAAAAGACTGGGAGGGTGGAAATCGAGCACGGTTGCTGAAGGCTACATAGAGGCATCTTTGGAGAACAAAAGTAAGACTGCTCTGATGCTATCCTCTACTTCCAAAGGTATTCAGTTGTCCAGTGCATCCACAAGTACATCACATGCGGAAACTCATCCGCAAGCGCAAGAGATAATAGTTCCAAACGAAACACAATTCCAACAGGATGGTCTCAAGATTTCCATTATAAACAACAATGCTAATTTAACAATTAATGTAAATAAGTGAATAGATTTAATTAGTTCCATGTAATACATGTGGTTTTATTATTATATGTGAGAGCTGTATGAAAATTATCAATTTGGAACGAGCAGGGAAATGGGGACGGAAAAGCATTTGCCGTCCCGGACGGAAAATGCTTTTCCGTCCTAGGCAGGCATATGCATTACCGTCCCGATAAATGTCAAAGTCCAGAAATGTGACACTTTCAAGATTTTGAAAAACCTGCAATGTCAACATTACATATGTGGTTGAAAATAAAAGTACTTTTAATACCGCTGGAGCGGCAGTAAAAGTACTTTTAGTGCCGCTTGTACTTTTACTGCCGCTCAACCATCCAGTTACCCCCGAGCTTACCACATTCGTTTGGAGAAAAAATAGCGTGTTGCATACGGAGTAGAAGCACTTTTTTGTGCTTCAGCAGTATTGCAAGCCTCACTACGTTCGGCTCGCAAACCTACTGCTTCAGCACAAAAAAGTAAAGCTTCTACTCCTAATACAACAATATACTATTGTCTTATATCTACTCGAATTTGGCACTTATTTGGCTCATAATTTTATTTCTGCGGCTGTACTGGTGTACAGGGTGTCTACATTTACATTTATAGGCTCAAATTTCAAAAAGTATTATTAGGGATTTTTTTAGAAGAAATCTGATAGCAGATTCTTGTTTAGAATGGTCTAAAACCCAAATGTACCAATTTTTGTTCCAATATCATATTGGATCACCCTGTATCATACAGGGTGATCACAGCAAATTTTCAAAATTTAATGGACCAAACCAGAAAAATTTCATATTTTGAGGCCTTGAGAACAACAAAACTTGATACAACATAGTTTGAGAACATCCTTAACCAAAACTTGTAGTAAGATTTTGTAAAACCAGACCTCGAACCAGACCAATCCGGATTATCAAATTATTCGGATTACTAAGGCATTTTACATTCCGCTTTTAAAATTATTTTGAAAAAATAACATGCTGTATTTAAGCAAAAAAAGCTTTATTTTCACCATTTGAATTTCGTCCACCTTCTTCTACATTTTTCTGCACTGTTTGGAAGAAGTTGTGCCATTTTCTTTGAAAAGCCCAGACCGTCAGGAAGGATGCTGCATATTGAATGATGCGAATAGACATGTAAAAAGTGTGGTCAGTCCTTAAGCGGGACACACTGTGTGAAAAAAGGCCAATGTTTAATAACACTGCCTAGTCAAAGCCTTTGGTGATTGCTGCTAACATTTCTGTCAATGCCGACAATGTCGCCATCAATGTCAAGAATGTCAACATCAATGCCGTCAATTCCGACACAATGCTGTCAATTCCGACATTAATGCCGTCAATTCCGACATGAATGCCGTCAATTCTGACATCAATGCCGTCAATTCTGATATCTATGCCGTCAATTCTGACATCAATCTCGTCAATTCCGCGATCACTGCCTCAATTTCCCTTATTTATCTATTCAATGCCCACAATTCCTAAATCATTACTCTCACTGCTGTAATTATTGCCGTAAATTTGTACACCAATGCCGCACGTGAAACACCCCTCGATACCATCCAATCATAGAAGACTGCGTGATATTTTTTGATTTCAATGTGAATATTCAGCTGATTAATATTCTGGTTTTTGTATTCGGGGTTACTGCATTTCATGGTAGGGATTTGTTATATTTTACGGGTATTTACTTGTATTTATTTTTTTTTACTACTAACCTGAGAAATAGACATTATTCAATCTATTTTTCTAAGAAAAAATTGAATTTCTCTCCCTAGGTTAATAATGAAAATAATGAAAAAATACCTAGGTCAATAATGAAAATGACATCATGACGCAAGGATATTGTCATGTTTCTATTGGTTCAATTTCAATTTCATACGTCAATTTGAAAAAAAATACAGGTTTCTGTAGGTACATAGGAAGTTATATAAGCTGTTGATAGAGGGCAGCACTTTCAAGAGGGCGTTCACAAAAAATAATTACAACACAGATTTTAAACAAATTTTTTATTTTTTACTAGCAGTAGGTAGTAAAAAAAATTCTATATATTCCTCGGTAGAGAAAGTCATTATATACCTCAAGCATTATAAAAAAGCTTTCGGTATATAATGACCAACTTCTCTACCTAGGTATATAATATACTATTATTTAAGGGTATTTAAATAAAAGTCTATTTAAATGTATTTATTTGTATTTAAATGGATTCAATCAAAGGGTATATTCCCCACAGTTTTGGCAAAGTATTTCTAAATGGTTTATGCCTTGAAGGTGAACGATCAGAAGGAAATTTTTATTTTTCCCTAAATTTCAATCTTGCAAAATTTCAAGCCAATTCTTCAAACACTTTCATCAAAAAAAAAAAAAAATCATCCTTCAAATCCTTTATAAATCTCTATTATGAATTTTCAATGCAGCTTCACATCTTTGGTAATTTCAATCCGATCTCAACATAAATTAGGCTTGAAAAGAAGCCAATTAAATCGTCTACAAATCTTTGGTGAATAATTTCAATCACAGTTTCTATGGAATAAACCACTCCCTCTCCCGAATTTTTGCAAAAAATTCCTTAAACTTCCCGCGAATTCCTCCAAAGTCCCCAGAAATTCCTTTAAACTGCTCGTAAATTCCCTGCAAATGCCTATTACAAATTCTCCGAAAATCCCCAAAATTTTTCGAGATAAGAAATGTATTTTTCTATTTTTATTACGCTCAGTGTTAAAATCAATAGTTCTCCCAATTTCCATACATTCTCCAATTTCCCATAAATTCCTCTAAATTCCCCACAGTTTTGGCAAAGAATTCCTGCAAAGCATTCCAAAAGACAACATACTTTTACTAAGAGTTTGTTTTATATACAAGAATTTTAAAGTGTATTTTAATATTATTTAAGCCTCCGTTGTCGTGTATTATTATTTGGTGTTTTGTTTTTTAATGTCCTCTATGTTGAGTCACGATTTCTATGACGAAGCGGCTTTGAAGATGGTCTAATAAGACCGAAAGCGCTCAGCCAATTTTATTAAATTTACACCGAAATACACAACTGTTGTTTTATTTTAAAAACTTATTCTTTGCATCTTTATATTTAACATCAGATGTATTTGCAATATTATAGTGATAATAACTTTCAACTTTAATTTTGAGAACATTTGTCCTTGAAGTCCTCTCTTCTCATATCAATCTTTCAAAGCTGTCCACATGTGGCATGCATTATTTTGAGCATCATCCAAACACTGGACCACTATAGACTGGCATTGCTTGTCATGTTTCTTATCTTTTTCTTTTTCTCTATCATCTTTGTATCTACTATCATTAAATTCATATTCAATCGATTTTGCCACTCCTTTTTCCTCTAGTAACACTTACAATCTAAATTTCCAGGCTCCATTTATCCTTTAGTAATTCGATATTGTAATTGTTCTTCGCTGCAGCCATTTTTTTTTTCCAATTTCTTCCTACTCACCTGCTACCTTCAACTTTTCATTTGACTTTTTATTTAATTTCCTGCCCTGGAAACTGCCTGAGACCCATAACCCTTCTGGTATTCTGCTTCTTGATGGAATTAAACTGCTTAGCTTTTTTAAATATCCTTTATTTTAAACAAACGGTAAAATCTAATTTTTTTTTGTGGAGATTTTCACTTTACTTAGACAATCAATTGGTACCCCAGAAACTTCATACAGTGATTTATTGTAGAATTTGAAGCCGAAATCTATGAAAAAAACTGAGAAAAAAACTAAAAAAAGACATCAGGAAAATTGAAAAATTTAAAAATTCACCCCAAATTCCTTAACCCGGTTTTTTCTCAGGAAAGGAATTTAAAATCCAAATGAGCAATTTTGCGGGGTTTGCAGTCCTTTACTATAGGATAAGAATCGCTGAAAACTTCAGCTTTCTATCTATGATAGAAAAAAAGTTATGATTATTCTCGTGATTATTTAAAGTTTTCAAAAATTCTTCCTTTCAAAATGGTAATTTTTTTGTGTGGAAATTTCGACTTAAGATGATCAATTAGGACCCCAGAAACTCCATACAGGGATTTATTGTCTGATTTAAAGCCGAAATATAATAATATGTATGAAAAAAGGACCTTAGAAAAAGTTAAAAATTCCAAAAATTCACCCCAAATTCCTTAACGCGATTTTTTCTCAAGAACTATAAGTCCAAATGAGTTGAAATTTTGCACAAACCCTGCTCCTCTACTAGGATAGGAATCGCTGAAAATGTCTGCAAAAATTATTTTTCAAAGATCCAGTTCATAATTTATTGTCTGAAGTAACGGGAAGTCAATCTAAAACTCAGAAATAGAATTATGATTTTTTCCCACCTTGATACTTGAAAAAAATTACAGTGTCTTCAAACTTTCAAGTTTTAAGAAATACTGAGAATTATGATTTTTCTCTTGTCATTGAAAAAAAATTGTAAAGTTGTGTTAAATTACATTTGGAAACAGGTTTGAAAGCTTCCACAGAACAAAGCTTCTGACAAATAGTGCAGACACTCAGAGGGACTTCAAACTTTGAAGTTCCATGAATTAGAATCTTTTTATTCAATCAAGCAAACCAGAAGTGAATCTGAGGATCAGGAAATTATGATTTTTTATCCACCTTGATATTAAAAAAAAAATCAAAATTGTGGTGAAAACTTCAAAAAACTCGGAGTGTCTTCAAACTTCCAAGATTCATGAATTATTGTCTTTGCATTAACTGAAGCAAACGGAAAGTAAATCTGAGGTGCAGAAATAAAATTATGATTATTTTCCACTTTGAAATTCTATTAAATTCTTGTGTGCACAAGTGCATCAAAATTACCGATAAATTTGGAAGAAAGCGTGTTTTCTAAAAACTGCATGAGCTGATTTTCTTATTTTTTGCGAAAGTGGAAAACTTTTTTAGAAAAATATGAATATGAACGAATGCAGTTTTTGAAAAAAAACACGCTTAAACGCAAAATTACCTGATTATCATGAAGCATGAATACTATCTAGTGAAATATTTTCCGAAATTAGACCTACTGGGCAATTATTATCGGTACCTGCCGGGAAATTATCTGTTCTTACCGGGTTATTATCGGTACCTGCTGTGCAATTAAGTTTTCGATAATTGCATTCCTTTCATACATAACTAAAAAATATCGGGTTAAATTACATTTGAAAGCTTCTGGAAAATAGTTCAGACATTCAGAGGAACTTCAAACTTTTAAGATTTATTAATCAAGTAGGGTTTTTTTTATTCAATGAAGTAAACCAGAAGTGAATCTGAGGCTCTGGAATAGTTAACGGTATTGAATCACATTTGAAAGTTTCTGGAAATACTTCAGATACTCAGAGGGACTTCAAACTTTCAAGATTCATTTTTCGTTTCTTTTTTTCACCCGAAGCAAATGGGAAGTAAATCCGAGGCTCAGAAATAGTAGGTATTGGTATTATGTATAATTTCTTTGTTCTATCATTCAGTGTGTCAACACCATTTAAAAAAAAATCAAATTTATGTTCTTTGCATGTATCAGTAAGTATCTGTAAATTTTTGGTCAGTGTTCATCTTTCTCCGAGTCTTTCTCTATTTCAAAGGAAAAATCAATCAATCAGACAATGGGAAAGCTCAGAGGAAACTCTCAAGTACTTAAACTTTATAAAATAATATTTTGGTGTCAGGCTGCTACTAATCCCCTTATTTTATATATTAATTTATTGAAATAATAGGTATCCAATTCCAAAACTTCGATTGACTTATAGGACCCAAAAAATGCCAGAGGTAATATGATAAATCCATCCCATAATCTGTTAAAAACTCCTCTAATTTCTTCCACATCTTTTTTATTTTGATTTACTTTAATTAAATCCTTTGTTTATTCGTAGATGACTTGTTATGTGGCGGTAAAGAATTCCGGCAACCTTTTTTATTAGGCTTCTAAGGCCTGAAGAAAATTTCAATTATTTGGCATAGGCTCAAAAGATCACTTTTAACTCTGGTGATACTACATATTTTACAGGTGTCATTGAAAATTCTAAATTAGAAATAAGTAAATATTCGTCAAGATGTAGCCTCTACAATTTTATTTAGTTGACTGATTGGGATCTAAATCCATTTTTCAAATTTTTTTTCAGGTTTGGTATGTGCCATTCAACTTATCATGTGCATCATCTCGGAATACCAGCGGCTCAAAACACCCACATTTTTGAAGGCATGCAAAATCACCACCCAGAAAATGATCTACTTAGTCATCTGCCTGGCCAGTCTGATAAGGGGAGCCTATTTTATTTTTCCGGTAAGTGAAAGAATCTATTTAAATATTGTCCACATTTGCTTATCAATATATTTTTAAGCTACTTTAAATATTTAATCCTTAATATATTCTGGCACTCGCATAAACAAAAATATTCATCAAACACAATTGTAATTAGTATTATAATTAAAAACGGTTCGTGTCGCTGTCTGTGCGTCAGATGACTTTCAAAAGTTTGTACTCGCCTCCAAATAATGGGAATAATCGTAATTATTGTACTGACATTATTTCGAGTGCAGGTGCACTCGAATAACCCACACCGCACATGGATTTATCGGATATTTTATATTAAGCCTGTGTCATGAACCACATACATAATAAATAGGATGAAGGATGAAGGTTATATTAAATTGGAATAATTTGTTTATTAGTAGTAGCAAAAAAATTGTGAATAATATTGTTAATTGAACTGTAAATTACTTTAGATTTCTGAAAAGATGTAAAATTTTTGAATGTGCTGGAATGAGGAGAAGACAATTGAAAACTATGCCCCAAACCAAACATGGACAAATGTGGAAAGAAATTTGAGCTTTTCATCAATAATGGCATAGAAATGTTTTAATTGGGAATAACGAGTTGGAAGGCATTTGGAGTTGGAGATTGTTTACATCCCCAGTACCCATAAAATTCAATTTAGCCAATGAATCTGGTTTTAGGGAAAATAGACAATAATTCTTTGTGTCTAATCTTTTGTTTAATATTATAATATTTATGATTGTTTAGGGTATTAGGTAGCAGAAAGCAATTTTTTTTATTTTATATATTCTGCTGCTATACAGGGTGTTACAAATTCGTGAGTAAGTATTTTGCTTCCAACCTGGAACCATATGTAATATGGTGTATGTATGTAATGCTTCTTACTTTTGGAGCTTAGTTTCTGATACGGAAGTAGACAAACGCTTAGAGCCGACGATCCTACTACTGTCTACTATATACCTATTTAAGCAAGTGAAGTAGTGTTGACTGGAATCAGTGTTTAGGTAATAGTGACTCTAAGGAAGCGGTGGGAGTATATGGAGTGCACGACGATAAACCCGTTAATATAAAGGATTCATTTTATCAACAAGTCAGTGACCAAATAATAAAAGTAGGAACTTCAAGGGAAATAATATTGCTGAAAGATTTTAACGGCCGAATAGATAGAAAAATCAACGACAAGGTAGGTCGGAAAATTCGGAGAGGATGTAACGAATAACAATGGAGAAAGGCTCATAGCAATATGCCAACAAAATAACCTAAAAATCCTAAACGGTTACTTTCAGCATAGAGAAATACATAGATACACATGGAAAAATGAAACTAGACAACAAAAATCGATTTTTCACTAACTATCGCCATACACTAAGTTATTCCCAGATTTTATCTCAGGAACTATAGGTCCAGATGAGCTGAAATTTTCAGGGATTGTAGTCCTCTACTGGAATAAGAATTTCTGAAAATTTCAGCTTTCTATCTCTATCTATAATAGAAAAAAAGTTATGACGTTCCAAAGTTTTCCAAAATCTAAATCATAAGGTATACTACCTTCTTACTAAAACGATGAAATTTCAAATTTTTTGGTTGTTGAGATTTTGTGCCCTAATGGTCACTTGGGATCCTTCGATCTCCATACACTAAGTTATTCCCAGATTTAAAGCCGAAATCTATGAAAAAAGGCACTCAGAAAAATTTTTTTTTTTTTTTTTTTTTTTTTTTTTTTTTTTTTTTTTTTTTTTTTTTTTTTTTTTTTATTTTTTTTTTCTTTTATTGTAGTCCTCTACTGGAATAAGAATCGCTGAAAATTTCAGCTTTCTATCTATAATAGAAAAAAAGTTATGACCTTCCAAAGTTTTCCAAAATCTAAATCATGAGGTTCTTACTAAAACGATGAAATTTCAATTATTTTTTTGTTGAGATTTTGTGTCCTAATGGTCACTTGGGATCCCTCGATCTCCATAAACTAAGTTATTTCCAGATTTGAAGCCGAAATCTATGAAAAAAGGCACTCAGAAAAATTGAAAAATTGATAAATCATCCCAAATTGCTTAACACGACTCTATCTCAGGAATTATACGTCTAAATGAGTTAAAACTTTCAGGGATTGTAGTCCTCTACTGGAATAAGAATCGCTGAAAATTTCAGCTTTCTATCTATAATAGAAAAAAAGTTATGACCTTCCAAAGTTTTCCAAAATCTAAATCGTAAATAACCTTCTTACTAAAACGATGAAATTTCAAATTTTTTTTTGTTGAGATTTTGTGTCCTAATGGTCATTTGATATCCCCTGAACTCCATACACTAAGTAATTCCCAGATTTGAACCGGAAATCTATGAAACAAAACACTCAGAAAAATTGATAAATCACCCCAAATTGCTTAACACGATTTTATCTCAGGAACTATAAGTGCAAATGAGCTGAAATTTTCAGGGATTGTAGTCCTCTACTGGAATAAGAATCGCTGAAAATTTCAGCTTTCTATCTATAATACGAAAAAGTAATGACCAGATCAGCTACCTTCTTCAGTGGCGGCTCGTGACTATTTCAAGTGAGGAGGCTAAAAATAATAATGAACTACGGTAACCACTGGCAGCAGGCAATTTTTTTTTTGAGTGTCTACGTCCTCAAGAATTTATCTGAAATTCAATAAAAACCATAAATCCTCAAGAAAAGAAACATCATAAGTATATATTTTCCGTATTCGCATGCTGAGTAATTAACCTGAGAGGTGAACTATCAATTTCTTCAGGACTATCTGATATAAACTAAAGAACTCTTCTTCGTCAATAGATCATATTTTCTGAAATATGCCCCAAATTTGGGGTAGGTTGGATAAATAATGAAGTGTGTGGTAGAAAAACACGACGGTTTTCTACCACACACTTCAGTTTTGGAACGACGTGTTTCATCGCGGCGATGAAAACCGTCATGTTTCATCGTAGTGTGTGGGGGCCTTTATTGGTTTCATATGGAATTGCGTGTCTGCTGGAAAAACAGATTTTTTTTTTTCTAATGCAACTTATAATAAATTACTGAAGTGCTCCTTTTTCGTTCTGATCAATGTAGTTTATTGGATTTTAAAAATGAGCGGAATTCGTCGGCTTTTTTTATTCGCGAAATATTCTATTAGGTACTTCTTCATAAAACTGGTCATTTTCGCACATTTTTGGATACAAATTCTTTTTCAATTGAAACAAAAGATACGTTAGTTAGTCTGTTTTAGGACATGGTACTTCGAGAGTAAGTTTTAATTCGTTTTAACGCTAAAAAATTCACTTTGACGAAAAATAAAAAATACATACCTAGGTATATAAAATCCAAGAAAGATACACAATTGCACAATAATTTGAAATGCATCTGAAGACAAAAAATATCAATCAACAATCTACGAATAGAAAAGTGACATGGAACTCCGAATGCATAAAAAAGAGATAAAAAAGCAACGGTGGCAGTTTCCAACCTTGCAATCAAAGGTTGCGGCTAGCCGCTCCGCGACCCGATGGTGCCTGAACGCCAGGAATGGTTCGACATGTTTCCGGCATTTCTATTGGTCGCTGAGATTCGCGGTCCATTTAAATGCTAGATTTCAGGGAAGCATATGAGACTGAAGCCTCCGGTCGACTTCTAATAGTAAAATTGCGGGCAAGGAACAGATTTTTGTCATGGAGGCGCGGAATTGTTTGAAATAATGTTGTCAGATTGTTCCAAATTATATTAAAATATCGAAATTTGGAAAGTGTAATTTGTGAATTATAATATTAAATAGGAATTAGGGATAAAATATTGAAATTTAATTTTCATTTTTTTTGGGGAGGCTTAGCCTCCCCTGCCTCCTCTGACGACCCGCCACTGTCCTTCTTACTAAAACGATGAAATTTCAAATTTTTTTTTGTTGAGATTTTGTGTCGTTATGGTCACTTGGGATCCCCCGATCTCCATACAACTATCGCAAAACAGAGATCATATAAAATCAAAAAATTCCAGGATGAGAGAGCATATATTGACCTGTGGTATCGATCACTACCTCCTGAAAACAAAAATATTTACCCCAGGCAGAAACACCGCAAAAGAAAACGAAAAAAAAAAAAACAAGAAGACAATATTGTGCATGAGAAATACAACCTAAAATCTCTAGAAGAGCAAAGCATGAAGGGGTTGGTTGTGCATGAATAGATTAGGACAGAAATTACAGAGTAGTATCAGTTTACAAAACCTTGAAATGCATGAAGGAGAGCGACAGGCAGCTCAAAAATGTAAAGGGTAACAAATCTGAGAATAAGGGAGATTATGGACGTAAAACACACAATAGTAGATGATATAAAAGACAAACAGCTGATTTGGTTCGGACATGTACAAAAAATGGCAGATACAAGAATACCCTAGCAAATTATTGAGTGGAAGCCAGGGGAAGAAGAAGACGCGGCAGACCAAGAAGAAGCTGGAGAAGTGGAATCGACGAACAGATGAGAGACAGAGGCTAGATGAGGATGCCTGGATTGACAGAGATGGTTTGAGATCGGGAATCCTAAGACGTAGAATGTTATAAACCGATAAGTATATGTATATTCAATCCACACTGGAATACTGCAGCACAGTTTGGACTTGGAAGTTACGTATGCCACATTAAAAGGATAGAAGGGGTGCAAAATAAATTTGCCAAATACCTGCTACACAAACTGACATTTCCTTGGGTATGAGACTCGTCTACAGCTCTGTGGCCTACCCAGCCTTGAGAATCGACGCAAAAATGCCCAGCTCATTTTTCCCTACAAAATTCTGCAGAACATTATCAACTCGCCCCAACTTCTGACAGAAATTGGATTTCTGGTTCTTGAAAAAAGAACCCGACTGAAGTAGCTCTTTTTCCAACCTGCGCATAGAACTGAGTCACTGACTATAGTCTGAATTGCATCATGACGCGTGTAGTCACTAATTACAATCAGGACTTTTTCCATATAGATCTTTCTAATACCACTCTGAATATAATAAAAAGAGAAATCATTACATAATAACAAAGGCTGTATTCTTTATGTTTTTATCACTATTTAGGTTTATTTCTTCAGTGTACCATTTATATATGACGCACTAAATACACAAAAAATCGGTTTTGGTCAAAATGTCTGAATATTTTATAATTATATAGTCCATGGTGCTCTTATAGTTTACATCCAAAAAAAAGGGTAAATAAATAAAAACTCATTATTTTGCAGGAATCATTCGAATATGGGTGGTCAAGCAGTTTATTATCCTCGTACTATCCGCTGTTGATGTCCAGCGCATCATTGATTGTATGCTTTTGGGCAGAGGTAAGTCTAATTGACATAAAAGCTAAAAGCTCCTTTAGTGGCAAACCCCACGACTCCAAATGGGGCAAGAAAAACATTAAGCTGAAAAACTAATCACTTTTAGCCTGCCATATTTGGATAGATATTGTTATTATACCAAAATAGTAATAATTAATATTGTAAATAAAAGTGTTTGCAAGGTTGAGTTTGATGAATTTGTAGTCAGGATTTAGTTATGTGAAAAAAATTGCTGCAATTTGACTTGTTAGTTCATTTTTGTAAAATGTAATTAAAATTCTCATTGTTTCAACCTACAACGATCAATAAAAAAAAATGCGTTTGCGGTTTGTCGTGAATAATTAAAATTTCAAGAATTATGAGTAGTAAATCACAATCACCAATATTGTTTTTTAAACGATAACAAACTAAAATCTGGTTTAATTAATTGTATAGGTGTTTCACTTGCAAGGCGTCCGCTACGAAAAGCCCCAGTTTATATCCAAATCATTCCTGGGCTTCATGACTTTCAACATCATTTCTTACGGACTGTTATTCGCCGAATTTATAACGACCCAAGTGGCCAATCCTCCTGCCGGGGATCCCAGATTCTACAATCATCTGTTTAACGGTTGTTATGCTGTACTCATGTTCATCGTTGTTATATTTTTCTTGATTTATGGAGTTGAAGTTTATTTCAAGGTAAATAAAAATATAATTTTTGTTGCAATTATTACCTATTTTTCTTGTAACAGGTTAGAGGTGGATTTGTTTCTAAGCCATTCCAACTAGCGAATGCGGCTCAGGAATCTGAACCGTTGAGAACCGAGGCCGATTTGAGGCCTCAAATTAATATTTCTCAATTGCACCAATCGCGAATTGGTAAGGAATTAATTGGTCGATTTCGAATTCTTATATTTGATGAAATGATTTATTTCTAGGTCTACTGAGTCAGGCCCTTATGCTAATCGTAATTGCTGGTTTCCTATTTTCTGAAACCTTGAGCGAATTTTGGAAAACTAAAGTGCCAATTAACTCGAGAAATTTGCACGACGTTATCTTTAGGGTTGTCGAGATTGGCGTTGCTATTTGGTGAGAAAAAATTTTAATATTATCATTTTGTGTTTTTATATATTATTTTATTTTAAGGTTCCCTGCTGTTCTTTGGAACTGCATGCAACCGTCTGAGCTATGGATTTTGAACCCGAGAAAGCTACTTGCCAAATTTGATCAGCAAAAGAACCAGGAGACAGAGTTGTCTCAAGTTGATGGTAAATCTTTTACAGGTAAAAAACTGATTTTTTTGTTAAATTGCTTTATGAGGATATACATGTGTTTTTATATAGGTGAAGATGACGAAGCTTTTCTTGACAAAAGGGAATGTTGGATTTGTTACGACGGAGACAGAAACGAGGCCTTAATTCAGCCCTGTGATTGCACTGGAGATGTTTCTAGTGTACATCATGAGTGTCTAAGAAGGTACGTATTTTAGTGGATTTCATGTAGATTACCGTCAAAAAACCCTTACAAAAATCTAGTTTATTTTAAACCATATATGTAATTTTCTCATTTCTTACTGGTTTGAAGGTTCGAAAATGTCACTTTACTTTTATTTACTTTGCAGCAGGCCGAAAGTGACAGTTCTGCTTTCACTTTCGGCCTGGAGAACTCACTTTCGGCCTGCTAAACTGTTCTTTCACACCTATACACAAATCCAGATGCAATGTCTGTATGTTTTCAAATCAAATCAAATCAAATATGCTTTATTGTCAGATAAAAACAGTTAGTTTCATAGACAAAGCAGTACTTATAATAAAATAGTACCTAAATCTTAAGCCTAAGTTAGAAACTAAAATGAACAGTAAAAAAAATAACAAACAACTAAGTAGCCAAAAACAATTAAAAACAAACTCAGAGCTTGAACAAACTAACAGAAAATAAATGAAATCAACATAAAATTTAAAAAGTTTACATGAGGGAGGTACAAAGTTGTTTATATGCGAATAGTGCAGCCAATTATAACAAATAGCAAAAGTAGATGGTAAAAAAAACATAAAAATAAAAAACTTAAACATCAAATATGTAAAACAACATCTACAAATAATCATCGTCAAAAAACTCTGACAGATTATAATAAGCCTTTCTCAGGAGCATCTCTTTGACCTTTGCCCTAAATGATTTTTCCGACTGTTTTAAGATCAGCAGGGAGCTTATTATAAATTTTTATACTGCGGTATATAATTGAGTTTTGTGTCATTCTATATTTAGGAATGGGTGATGGTATGTTATTTTGATTCCTAGTTTGATACACTTGACTAGACTGGAAGTTTTTGTATTTCTTGTGCAGAAGAGTAACTGATTCCAATATAAAAAGACAGGTTAAAGTTAATATATATTATTATTTTCACGATCTCCTAGAAGTTTATTGGTTACACAATGGATTTTTCAAAAATCTGTGTGTGCATACCATACCAAATATTACACAATTGCTAAATTAGTCAAGGTTATAGAAAATTTATACAATAAAAACAAATATAGTATCCTATTTCACTATCACAAAAGCTAGCGAGTTAATTTTTCTTTATTTTAAACAAATGGAAAACATGTTTTCTTGTAAAAACAGTGGTCTACAGTGGTCTCTAATCTTAGCGCCACAGATATATCGGATGCACCTCTTTTGAATAGTAAAGACTGACCCAAACAGACCCTGACTGCAATTACCCCAAAAGGCTATTCCATAGCGTAAGTGCAACTCAACCAAAGCATAGTAAGTAGTTTTAACCATTTTTGTACCGAGTTCGGAAAATATTTTTCTTACCGCGAAACTACCGGCTAAAATCGGCCCAAGGACGGAGCCCTGCGGTACACCAGACTTAAGTTCGGACAGCAAAGATGTAGAACTACCGTTTCTGACTTTTTGAAATCTCGATGTTAAATAAGAGCGAAAAAAGCGTTGTGAGACTCCTCTAAACCTGTAAACCTCCATTTTCTTTAAAAAAATATCATGACTAACACAACGCTTTAGAGAAGTCACAAAATACAGCAGCCGCAAAATCTCCATCATTAAGCCTTAAGTACAAGTACTCTAAAAACGAAAATAGTGCGCCATTAGTGCCCTTTGAATGCTGAAAGCCAAATTGGTTGTGTGTAAGAATGTTGTTCTTGTTTAAGAATTCGAGCATTCTACTTTTTATTAGTTTTTCTATAATCTTAGACAGTGTATTTCAATAGTGATATAGGCCTAAAGTTTGCTGGTTCTTCAAATGATCCAGATTTGTGCAGTGGAACGACTATAGCAGTGTTTAAAGAATCTGAGAATTCGCCCTTTAAAAAGCTAGAATTTATTGCTGTTGCCAAAGCGTTTAATGCCTTAACATCTAAACTTTGAAAAACCTTCCAGACTTATCATCGTCACCGGAAGAGTGGGTATTTTTTATTTCGTTTATTGTTTTCTTCAACTCATCTAGTATGTTAGTGTAATTCAGCTCAAAGGTATCATTAACAAGGGAATTCTTTAAGTTGTCCATGGGATTTAAATTAGTTTTCAGGTTAGCTGTAAGTTTTTTTGCAACAGAGCAATAATAGTTATTTATGTATCAAGGGTACTAAGTAGATGATTATGCCCTGAGGGCGACAGTCTTACAAAGCCGAGGGCCTCTGGCCCGAGGGTATATATCTATTAGTACCCGTGTTGCATACAAACTTTTATGTCATACCAGGGGGACCTTATTTGAAATCGATGCAACTTTGCGTACACGCAAACGACGTCATTTGCGGCGTAATTGTCAACCTGATGTTTAGAATGGTACATTATGCCCGCGCGGGCCAGAATGTGTACTTTATGCCCGCACGGGCATAAAGTGATGAATTATGTAGATGGTATCTAAGGTATAAAAAGACAATAATGTAATAGTCAACCATCCAAGGACCTTTTTTTTCAGTTATACATGTAAACCCCATACTTTGTGAGTGGCTTGCTTACATCAAGTCCTACAACTTTTCCTCTACGATTTTTCTCGGAAATGGCACGTATGCGCGCAGGCGATTCGCAAACATGTCGATCTGACGTAGCTATGTTTCCTGATACATGTAGGTAAATCTAATTTTACGAATACTGTTTGATTTTTATTTCTAAATCACGGAAATCAACTTGGCCGACAAAAATAATGGCAAATTGGGGGAGTCCGATACCCCCAAAATGTCGATCTGACGTGGTTATGTTTCTTGATACATGAAAATCTAATTTCACGAATAATGTTTGATTTTTATTTCTAAATCACGGAAATCAACTTGGCCGACAAAAATAATGGCAAATTGGGGGAGTCCGATACCCCTAAAATGTTTGCGAGTCGCCTGCGCGCAGACGTGCCATTTCCGAGAAAAGTCGTAGAGGAAAAGTTGTAGGACTTGATGTAAGCAAGCCACTCACAAAGTATGGGGTTTACATGTATAACTGAAAAAAAAGGTCCTTGGATGGTTGACTATAATGGTATGACATAAAAGTTATTTAAAATATCAGCATCGATATTTGTCGTTTGTCTAGGAGTATTGCTTTTACCTCTAAAGTCATTTACTATTGCCCATGCCTTCTTACTCTTGTTCCCTGCTTTTGACATTCTATTCTCATAATATGATCGTTTTGCAGTTCTTATAGTTTTTGTGTAGATCTTTCTGTAGTTTTTGTGATAACGTTTCAAAAAACCGCTATTATCAGCTTTACAATTTACGTGTAGAGATGTGAGGTTTTTGGCTGAAATTTTAATGCCCTTTGTCATCCAGGATTTTCGTTTTTTACGTGATCTCATTTTACGTAATGGAAAACAGTTATTGAATAAATTCAGCAAGATTGAGTGAAAAGTATCTACTGGCTTTAGTGAATCAAATATGCAATGCCAGTCGACCAACGCCATCATGTCTTCAAAGTTCTTAAAAAAAAATTCTGAAAATATTTGTCTCAATTGAGGTGGAAGTTTGGAAGTTTCAACCCCTAGAGGGAAAGCCGCCAATATAGCCTCGTGGTCAGAGAGGTGGGTAGAAACCATATTGCAAATGGTGTCTTTTCCATCAAAAGAAAAGGCAGATTTAGTGTAAAGGTGTAAATTTCTTTATTAAGTATTAATCGAGCGCTTTCGGCCTAGTGAAGGGCCATCATCAAGGTCGGTCTCGTCAGGTTCGTATAGTGGAGACAGAGTTACAGAACAAAGGCATGTTTTTGGTGTAGAAAGCCAAATTAATAAAATAAAAGACACACAACACAAGTAAAATGTGACAAACTAACTAACATCCAGGAGCGCTCAGCAACAACCAACTCCAAAATACATTTAGGCTTTTTCCAAAAATCTTTCAGTGCTGATTCATCATTTTCTATTATAGATAGAAAACTGAAATTTTCACTGAATCTTATCTCGATAGAGGGACTACAATCTCTGAAAATTTCACCTCATTTGCACTTATAGTTCCTGAGATAAAATCATGATGATTGAAACCATATGCTTATGTCAACCTATATTGTTTTCATGACGGGGCACATTTTCCAAAAAATCCAAAAATCTAAATTAAAAAGAAAATCAAAAATCAAAAAATATTAGGAAAACCACTGATGAATCAGCACTGAAAGATTTTTGGAAAAAGCCTAAATGTATTTTGGAGTTGGTTGTTGCTGAGCGCTCCTGGATGTTAGTTAGTTTGTCACCTTTTACTTGTGTTGTGTGTCTTTTATTTTATTAATTTGGCTTTCTACACCAAAAACATGCCTTTGTTCTGTAACTCTGTCTCCACTATACGAACCTGACGAGACCGACCCTGATGATGGCCCTTCACTAGGCCGAAAGCGCTCGGTTGATACTTAAAAAAGAAATTTACACCTTTACACTAAATCTGCCTTTTCTTCAACTTCTCTGGTGTACTTCTAAACCCCCTTCTCGATTTTCCATCAAAGTTTAAATTTGTGCAAAAAAAGTCTATAGTAGTAGATGTTTCACCAGTTATTCGAGTTGGAGATTCAACATGCATACTCAAACCATACGAGACAAGGAGGTTTTGCAACGCTTGGGCAGCTGCCAGGGTTGTACTGCCAAAGTCTATGTTGAAGTCACCCGCCAGAATTACTCTGCTATTTACTGGCAGATCAAGCAAGATTGTTTCCAGATTTATGAGAAAGTTTTTTAAATCTGAATCTGGAGGTCTATTAATACATAATAAGTATAGATTCTCCCTTTTACTACAAGCAACTGATGATTTAAACTCACCCTCTCTGCACAAAAAAATCATACTTGTTAACAGCCTCAATCTGAAACCTAGGAAAAAACTCTTCCCGAATGAAAATCGCAGTGCCCCTATATCCGTCGGACCGGCAGAGGTGCGAAATATTTAAATAACCTGGAACATTGCATGGTTCTGAGACCTTTAACCAGTGTTTAGTTACAAAAATTAATTCAGGATTTCGGTGGTTATCGATAAAAACGCTAAATTCTTCGATTTTGTAAGAACCTTTTGGGAGCAACTGTCTAAAAAACTTAAATTCAATTCATCTTCACGTTTAATATCTTCTGTATCTACCAAAAAGGAACCGTGATTCACATTGATAGTTTCGCCAATTTGACCCGTCAGTAATTGAGTATAAGTAGGGTTTGCATCCAAACCATTAACACATTTGGCACAAGAGTTAGAAAGGGTGGGGACGCGTTTTAAAATCCTGCTACTCATTACATAAGACAAAACATTATTTAAGTAAGAATGCCTTGACAGTCGAAATCTGCCATTTACCCTATTGTTATCCAAAATTCTGATTGATGCACTTTGGCATTTGAGGAAATGTTGACAAAGGAAAACAAACCTTACATATTGTTCGTCGATTTTAATCTGATACTTGGACGGAATGTGAGCTGGTAGATCCCTACATTAGAACGCCAATGGTTACCTGACGTCACATCTGTTTTTGCCATATGAAACACCCCCTCGCTCCTCATACCGCAAGTATCAGTTAAAAATCGACAAACAATACCTGTTGTATTCCCAGTTAGAATATCGCAAAGAAAAAATTAAATTAGTATATTTACCAATGGAAAACAGTATTCCTAAATAAAGTGAATTAAGAAAACCAACAGAACTCAAGTCAATAGTTATTATAACATTGTCCATATTACCATATCCCGCCGTTAAACTAAAGAGTTTGACTGCCATATCGGAAATTGTAATAGCAGGGTGGCATTCTCCATAAACCAAGCATTCATCAGTCAAGCCAAGCAGTCCATCAGAAATACCTCTAGAACTTGCGTCACCAAAAACCAGGACTTTGTTTTTACTGTTGGGATAGACTGAAGATGTATAGTTTCTGGATTCTGCTCATGTGTTATGTCTTTGTTTTTGTTGTTATCTAGCAGCGGGAACGTGTTATGTATATCTTTTTTCTGCTTGTTCTGGAAGATCTTATTTTTGCGTTTCTTAATGTCATGCACGTATGCCTCACTTTGTTGTTCTAGCGTATCGATAGTCATCAGCATTTGACTGTGTTCCGTCGTTATTTCCCTCATATCACTTTCCAGAGACATAAGTTTTTGTTGGTACTTATTAAGTTCAACTATTAATTACAGAAAACTTAACTACAACTAACCCAAGGATGATCTCCAGCACTGGACATGATGAAATCGCTCTTATATTTCTTAAAATTGTTTGCACACTCTAAAGGGGTCTTTGGCACCACTTATGAATTACATAATAAGTCTGTTTCTGTCACGATTTTATCTCAGGAACTATAAGTGCAAATGAGTTGAAATTTTCAGGGATTGTAGTCCCTTTATTGAGATAAGATTCAGTGAAAACTTCAGCTTTTTATCTATAATAGAAAAAAAGTTATGACCTTTCAAAGTTTCCCAAAATCTAAATCATAAGGTAGCTACCTCAGTTCTAAAACAATGAAATTTCAATTTTTTTTTTGTTCAGATTTTGTGTCCTAATGGTCAATTAACCTCCTCCAAACTCCATACACTAAATTATTCTCAGATTTGAAGCTGAAATCTATGAAAAAATGCACTCAAAAAAATTGAAAAATTGATAAATCACCCCAAATTGCTTAACACGATTTTATCTCAGGAACTATAAGTGCAAATGAGCTGAAATTTTCAGGGATTGTAGTCCCTTTATCGAGATAAAATTCAGTGAAAATTTCAGCTTTCTATCTATAATAGAAAAAAAGTTATGACCTTTCAAAGTTTTCCAAAATCTAAATCATAAGGTATAGCTAGCTACCTTCTTACTGAAACGATGAAATTTCAATTTTTTTTTTGTTGAGATTTTGTATCCTAATGGTCGAGTAACATCCCCCAAACTCCATACACTAAATTATTCTCAGATTTGAAGCCGAAATCTATGAAAAAAGGCACTCTGAAAAATTGATAAATCACCCCAAATTGCTTAACACGATTTTATCTCAGGAACCATAAGTACAAATGAGCTGAAAATTTCAGGGATTATAGTCCCTTATCGAGATAAGATTCAGTGAAAATTTCAGCATTCTATCTATAATAGAAAAAAAGTTATGATCTTTCAAAGTTTTCCAAAATCTAAATCATAAGGTATAGCTAGCTACCTTCTTACTGAAACGATGAAATTTCAATTTTTTTTGTTGTTGAGATTTTGTATCCTAATGGTCGAGTAACATCCCCCAAACTCCATATACTAAATTATTCTCAGATTTGAAGCCGAAATCTATGAAAAAAGGCACTCAGAAAAATTGAAAAATTGATAACTCACCCCAAATTGTTTAACACGATTTTATCTCAGGAACTATAAGTGCAAATGAGGTGAAATTTTCAGAGATTATATTTCCTTTATCGAGATAAGATTCAGTAAAAATTTTAGCTTTTTATCTTTAATAGAAAAAAAATTATGAGCTTTCAAAGTTTTCCAAAATCTAAATTATAAGGTAAGCTACCTTCTTACTAAAACGATGAGATTTAAAAAAAAAATTGTTGAGATTTTGTATCCTAATGGTCAATTAATATCCCCCAAACTCCATACACTAAATTATTCTCAGATTTGAAGCCGAAATCTATGAAAAAAGGCACTCAAAAAAATTGAAAAATTGATAAATCCCCCAAATTTGCTTAACACGATTTTATCTCAGGAACTATAAGTGCAAATGAACTAAAATTTTCTGGGATTGTCGTCTTTTGATTAGGATGAAATTCAGTGAAAGTTTCAGTTTTCTATCTGTAATAGGAAAAAAGTTACGACCTTTCAAAGTTTTCCAAAATCTAAATCATGAGGTAGGTTACTAAAACGATGAAATTTCAATAATAATAATAATAATAATAATAATAAAAACTAAGTATTTTATAAGAAATGAATAAAAATCAAAAACAAACTTTTTATTCATAACTTAGTTAATTTTTGCCCTATTTTCTTGTGTATAGTATCTACTAGCTCAATGGAAAATAGAAAGCCCCTGAAATTCATATGTTGCAACAAAATAGTCCCAAAACATATATTTTTTTTTTCTCAGATGGTTAATGGAAAGTAGTTCGGCCTCTAACGAACCGCTCCGCTGCAAAGTGTGCAAGTGCGAGTACGAAATTTGCGAAAACAACGAGCTGAAATGGGACAAGGCGTTCACGGCAAAACACTGGGGCAGTACCGCCGTCATTGTAACATGCATCTGCGTCACCATCGCATGCGCCTGGATAGTTATCCAGCTATACGAAAACTCTTACATCCGAATGTTGGCCGCCAGCGTTGCCCTGATTATAATCTATATTTGCATCAGGTGGATAATTTTCAAATTAAAAAATATTTATTTTATTTAATTAATAATTATTGTTGTAGATTCTTGGGCCAAAACACTCTTAGTGCTTATCAACGCGCCAAAGTGGCAGCGTTGAGTATCAACAATCATGTGACGACAATTAGTGCCAATGTCAATATACTGTCTGAGGACACTAATCAACCTACTGTTGAAGCTAATTTGTAAAATTGTATATAAAGTAATCATGAATTTTTAAGTTATTTGTAGCATGTAGGTGTTACTCTTTATATTAGGATTTATTAACTACATAAACATCACATGATTCAATAATGCAACTTGAGGCAGAAATTGAGTATTTGAAAAAGAAAGTATTTGCTCTAATCGTATCAAATTGAATTTGAAATTTGTCTATTAAGCAAAAAAAATAGTTTGTGATATTTATTTATTAGGAAAACTGCTGTAATATTTTTGATACATTTCAATAATTTCTGCATTTTCATTAGATATTTGTGTGTATGTGTGAAAAGGGGGTGGAATGTTTTAACTTTCAGTATTATGAAATAATTTTTTTTCCCATTGACAGCTGGAGTTTATCTCTAGCAATTTGACTGTTCCAAATAAAAAAACAATAGTCTAGTTTAGATGAGAAATAATGTGTCGGGTAAGATTTGCACGTAAAAGTGGTTAAATTTAGTATTAAGGAGTTTACCGCCAAAAAAATTAAAATTGGACGTACTTTTTTTGTTTTTCTTGTTGTTAAAATTAGGCTATAGGTTTATTGAATTTTAAATGCTTTGTAATTAATGTGCTATGTACATTTAAATAGACTGAAATTAAAAAGTTGATTCTGGAGTTGGAATCGAATTTTCGTGTTTTATTGAACTGAACTAGCTCAATTAACTTCTTGGCCAACTTGTCACTTTAAAGTGAATTTACTCAAGCTATCCAAAAATAGGAAATGATCAAAAAAGTATTAAAGTTATTTATCAGTTTTTCCATCCACTCATTACTCCAGCAGGAACAGGGGGAGAGGAAGTACCTACTGAAAGTTATAGGGAAGTTTTTCAAAATCTGGAGAAATTAAAAATATGCCTATCGGAAAAACTCCAGGAAGTATAGCAAATTTTTAAGTATAAGGAAGATAGTATACAAATTACAAAGGGTGTCCAAGAAAACAATTTTTGCCTCCATTTGGAATATTTTAAACATCCGGAGAAGTACGAGGAACTTCAAATTATGCAGGTATAGATATCGAAGAATTCTGGAAAAATTCAAAGGACTAAAGCTCCTTCGTGACATTATATTTGAAAATATATTCGACTTTGAAATCATTTGTATAATAAAAGAGACAAATAAACTTAGCATATTAATTCAGATATACATACTTTAATATTCCAATACGTAGGTCTCAAAATATCCATACAAATACAGTACTTACTTTCAATAATTATGTTTACTGTTCGGAAAGAGATTAAATATTTTTATCACAATTTTTTTTTTCCTTGTTATATATAAAACCTAGCTTGGACAATAAAGTATATAGAAAAAAAACTAAGATGTAAAAAATCTTACATACTAAGGCTAGTGTTAATATTGACTAAAAAAAAAAGGGTAAAATGACCAGCTAAAAAAAGGACTACAATTATTTCCATTGAGAGTTAAAATTATAAGTACCGGGTGTCAAGTTATAAAGTACCACCACCTGTAACTTTTTTAGGTATGATTAAAAATTAAAAAAGTTACAGGTGGTGGTACTTTATAACTTGACACCCTGTACCTATACATTCATTGTTTTGTATAAAACTTAAAACTAACCTGGACAATAAAATTTAAAAAAACTAATGTATAACAACAACAATTACTGGACAAAAACAAAATTATATCCAATTTGCCAGTATTAAAATTGCCTAAAAAAAATTGACTAAAAAAGAAAAATGTTAAAATGACAAGCATCGCAATCGCATGAAACTTCTATGCTATTAAGGACTACAATTTCTATTCAGAATATAATTATTTTATATAAAAATTATTATAAATAAATAATAGAAAAAAGAGCTTAAGTATAAAAATATTTACTAGAATTGGCTAAAAAAAAATTACCAGCTAAATAGCATCAACATAGTCTTATGCAATTTTCATTCACAATCAATTATATACAGTCAATTGAATTTAAGACATTAGATCTTAATAGTTAAAAAAAAGAAGCCTCAAACTATAAAATCATTGTCCATCCATAATCTATAGAACTCAATAACTTCAACTATAATCGTTATCAAAACGATCGTCATGCTCCCATCCCTTTTTCATGGACGGCGATTTCTTTTTTTCCCAGTCTTTTTTTCCTTGATTATTTTCCCTCCATTTTCCATTGCTAGGACCATTCTGACGACTTCTAGAGTCTTTATGATTGACAGCTGGACCTTGGCGATTCCTAGAATCCGTACTTGAAGCTTGACGACTCCTAGAGTCTATACTTGAAGTTTGACGATTCCTAGCCTCTTGATGACTGCTGGAATCTGTATTTGACATTGGACGAGTTTTGGATTCAGTATTTGAAGCTGGAGGATCCATATTTGAGGGCTGACGACTCGTAGACTCCATATTTGAGGCTTGATGATTTCCTGGATCCACATTTGAAGGTTGACTTATGTTTGAATTATTCTGTGGTTCCCAGGTAAATTCGATTGGGTTAGTTTCAGTTGGTGGGACTTTGCTTCTTTGGAGCCTGGCTCCTATTCCTAATATTGGACGACCAGGCTTTGCTGCTTGAAAATTAATAAAAGTTAATAATGAAACAATTTATGAGAATTTAATAAATTACCTTTATTATTTGACTGAGGTTCTTTGTTTTCAGTATAATTTAAACTGCTATCATTATGAATACTGCTGCTATTATTTGTAGACACATCAGAAACACTATTATTTTGATATCCAGAATCGGTTGAAACTTGCAACACGTTTACGTTACTGTGAAAAGTGTCCAAAGTTTTATTGGGATTAGTTTGTACGGTTAACGTGGCGTGAGATCCTTGAAAGCAAGCCATTGCGTGATCTCCTAACTCATTCTGGTAAAAATTGTGAACATCAGCTGGCAACAAAGCAAATCTGTTACTGGAAACTTCCATTGCAAGAATTAGCCATAGTTTGCACTCTCTTGTGTATGTTTCTTCTGAACACAACATGTATCTTACTTTACTAATAATGTTTGCTACTTTTTCAGGGCATTCATGTCTCAGAGAACTACCATTTAAATAAAGCTAAAAATTAAGACGGAATTAAATATAGGTACATACAAATTTATATTATGTATTATACCTGGATGGTAAAAAGTTTAAAATCCAAAGGATCAACAGATTCGAGGAGCATTTCGAAGTAAGACAACAAAGGGGTGGCCATAAATGCAAACTGTTGCCCATTAGCCAATCTGGCTTTATTGTAGAATTCGCCCATCAATTGAACGCTGTTTCTAAAGGCGTGCGGATCAGTTGATTTTATTTGGGCACATTCTAAAATCAAAATTTCCATTATTTTATGTTTTTTTTTATGGAAAATGAGTGTCACCACACGAGGGCCCTTATTCTCGAAACAGGGGAGCAGCGTTCTCATGAGAATGAAGGTTCTGTATTAGTCTCGCATAATATGGTATTTCCATAAAACTGACAAAGACAGAGCATGCGTTCTCGTGAGAATGCTTTACCCGGTTTAGAAAATAGACATTCAGGTATGTGTGTGAGATGTGAAATCAAGTAAAAGTATCCTCATTAATTAATTTCTAAGTTTCTTTGAAGGTACGTTTTATGGTACAGTACAAAGTCAAAATGAATTATGTAGGTACTTGTTAAGGTAAATGGTAGATAAGCCAATATTTAAAGCATAGTGTTTACATGAAATTTAAATTGAAAATTAAGGAAAACCAAACAATACTTCAATGTATACATGTATGTTTAACTTCAACATATTTCCTCATTGGCATATTGAATTCCTACCTCTTAACAATTATTTGGTTCTGACATCAAACCGTATCAATGTCGTTTCTGCAGCAATGCTAAATACATAGAGCCCTAATTGGGGACATCTTTGCAACCAGACTGAAAGTTTATGATTTATGGGCGTCCATTTCTCTATCCATTGGTCCTTCTCAACGCTTTGTCCCTCTCTTTATAACTATTTTACTTTTTTAGTTAGAAGTATATTTGATGCGACTGTAACTGCGTAATTTTTAAATGGTTTTGTTAAACTTGCTCGGGTAAGTCTTTCTAGGTAGATATTTCGTTTTCAACACCATAAAACTATGAAGTTATACTTTCAATGTTCTCATTATCTTCTATTCTTTCCTGTTCTAAGTCTGAACATTCTTGTCTTGAACTAGCTTTTATATCTGGGTCTTCTAAAGGAACTCCTGAATTTATTTTTGCACAACGTTCTTCTTGAAGGTCTTCGATTTCCTCACACCGTTCGTTTATCCAATTTTCTTTAGCTACCCTGACTTTGTTTTTCACTTCACGATTCAACTGACGATATGCTGGCTGGGTCTTTCTGCAGGCGTCCTTCTTCTATCAAGTCAAGGATTTCATCAGTCATCCAAGCTTTTTTCCTGATGGAAATTCCGAGCTGACGCTAACAAAGGCTTCCCTAATACCGGTACATACAGTCTTGATTCTCTGCCCTGTTTATTATTTCTAACTTCGGCCAGAGTTAGTATTGTCAGATCCAGCCACGGGCTGTTCGTTCTCTTTTCAAAGTCAACTGGATGTTCGCTACAAGCGGATTGTAATCCGAATTTATATCTACTCCAGGGTAATTTGAAGATTTGATGCAATATCATTCAAATAGCAAAAGCAGAGCTATCCAATAAGTAACTTATATATGGGGTGTCTTATTAAAAAAAATCGGACCTGATATTTCGAAATTGGGGCCAAATAGAAAAACACTGCTTTTAGACAGTTTTCACGGAAATCAATTATTTTCGTGAATAAAAAATTTATGAAACTTTTACTATTAGAAGTGTTCAAATTGGACCACCTTGTATATGCTAGAAATTAAAATATCATTTTTTATAGAGTACCTATATATTGTTTTTATTTTATCAACCAAAGTTAAATTACAATATTTTACCAGTAGATAGATAATTTTAAAAAAAACTTTGACCCTAATTTTTCAGTATAACCCTGTATCGCCACAAGGTCGGTGCAATGAAAGAAAATGCTTATTTCGATTGCTTAAATAATATACTAAAGTTTTGAGGGGTTTCAAATAAAGTCAGGAAAAAATAAAAACCATTTTGCAAAATTTCGGTTTCTTCTAGATATCTCCGGAAGTATTAGGAATATCTTGAATATCAAAGCGGCATTTTGTTAAGCATAAAATTACGCAACTTTGTCCCAATTTAACTAACCCTGTATCTCTCACCATTTTCCAGATCCCAATGATGTGGCTCAATCATCATCTGAAACACCCTGTACAACTTTTGTATTTACACCCTTTGTTCTACCTGTAAAGGTGAATGCTGTAGGTAGGGTGTCAATATAAAACACCCTGTATATTAAATGGTTCAAAGTGTCCTTCATTTTCAAGCCAAACAACTGTTGAATAGTTAAAATCCCCACAAATCAAAACTGGATGATCTTTTATCTCCTCCAGGTACAATCTCAATTTTGACAAAAAACAAACATAGTTAACATCCTCATTATGTGGTAAGTCATAAAGCCCAAACATCTTCTGCTTCACTGTGATATTCCTCAAGCGCCACATTCATTATTAATTACAATGAAAACTCCACCACCATAAACTTTTTTCGAACATGTGGTGATCTCGTCTCTCCAAAATATTGAGTATCTGGTCAAATCACTGAGTTCCTGATCCAATATGCTATCATTTAGCCAGAACTCCATAACAAAGCTGATATCATAAGAATAACTGTCCTATGACAATCTGAGGTATTTCAATTTTGTGCGACAACCTTGAATATTCTGTATGTTGACCAACAATGAGGATGCCATTGTAAATCATAAAGGCTCTTTTTTATTTTACCTTTTAATTATTCTTATTCTCTTTAAAAATATGTATTTTGCGCACTAAAACCTACAGACTTACAGATCTCTAAGGTCATCCTCGTGTAGCCTCTAAAGTAGGTGTTCTCTTGATATAAACAATGCCATCAAAGGTGTAGGCAACATTTATTGTTTTCTATCTCTTCATATCGCGTGCCAGCTTGAACAATTTCTGGTTTTCCACAGTGACATCTCCCATTGAAGTAAATGGTACCACCTTGACTGCAAGACTCTGTTGGTATCTTGTTCAATTTTTTTTTCAAAATCAATTGGTTCATGATTATCATCAGCAAGGGTCAAGGTAAGGGTCCACCCATTTAAGCCTAGTACTCATAACTCATAAAAGAAATGGCACCGAAAATGTTGGAGAATATATTCACCTTTTTACTGGAGTGTCAAAGGACATGAGAGCAGCTAGAGGGGTATCCATATTGATAAGGAAAGACTGGAAAAACAAAATTAACAACTGGGAAGCTGTAGATGAAAATATCCTAACGGTCAACTTGAAACTACATGGCTATAACATCACCATTATAGCAGCCTACGCTCCATCATACATCTCTGTGAGACCCACAATCTTAGAATAAAAATAATGGATTTTTCAAACACAAAGATATTCACCGCTACACATAGATACAGCATACCCGTAACCTGAAAACTATTATTGACTTTGTGATAAGCAAACAAAAAACAAACACAGAGATAAACAACGTAAGAGTTCTAAGAGGAATAACTTGTGGGTCAGATCATTTTTTAGTAAGAGCCAAAATAAAGTTGCAATTTAGGCAAACGAACAAGAACCCAGAGGAACAAAACACCAATACCATACTAACGGACACAGTGGATACACATATAATTTTGACAGTTTTAGAGATGACAGCACTGTATTTCTATATCAGAGGCGACTCGATAGCAAACTATTGAACCCTGAAGAATGTACCTTCAATAAACTCTATGAGAATATTATAAGGAGTCTAATAGAAGCCACCCAAGCAGCAATAGGAACGAATGAAAAAAATACCAACAAGAAATACTGGTGGAACGAGGAGATAGAGCTATTAGTCCAACAGAAGAACCAAAAATATCTGAAATGGCTAACAACCAAAAATGAACAAGACCTTGAAGTTTATAAAGGCATTAAAAGACAACTAAGAACGTGCATCACTATAGCTAAGAACGAGTCATGGGATAAGAAATGTGAAGAAATTAACACCTACATAGGAGGAAGGAAATGCTCAGAGGTATGGAGATTTATATCAAATGTCAAAAACCCAGGAAAAGACAGAGCTAATAACCAGATTATTAAACCAGAGCAATGGGTAGAACATTACAAGGGTCTATTACAAGAAAGTAGACCGGAATATATATTAGATTCTCCAAGACATATTGAAGTACATGGAGAAGTAGTTGAGATATCTGAAGAAACAGTAAAAAAGACTGTCCAGAATCTTAAGTCAGGTAAAGCTAGCGGCCCAGAAAGGATATACTCAGAAATGCTGAAATGCTGAAATGGAGAAGCTCTTTAAAGGTCTCACATGTATTATCAATACATCCCTAAATGGACATCCTGTTCCACAAGACTGGAAAACGGCTTTTATATCATCCATTCACAAAAAAGGAAATAAGCTGGATTGCAATAACTATCGGGGCATATCAGTCACAAGCACACTAAGCAGACTATACGGTAGAATCCTGCGTGATCTCATTGAAGAAGATTATAAAGAGCAAGAAGAAGAAGAGCAGTGCGGCTTTAGAGCAGGAAGATCAGGTACGGACAACGTATTTTGCCTAAAACAAGTCATAGAAAAGAGATCTGCTAGATATCTGGAAACCCACCTCACAAAAAGCATACAATACAGTCCCAGTATCCAGACTATGGAAGGTATTAGAACGCACAAACATCAATCACACCTACATAACGGCACTTAAAGAACTATATAAAGACTCAAAATCAAGAATTAAGATAGGTAAAAAACTCACAGACACATTTATAGTAAATAAAGGGCTACGTCAAGGATGTTGTATCTCTCCTACGCTTTTTAAAATATACGCAGCATTAGCACTGAAAAGTTGGAAGAGGAAGATCCATGGAATGGGTATAGAGATAAATGATAGGTGCTTGTTTACTCTTCAGTTTGCAGATGATCAGGTCATAGTGGCCAGTGACAAAGAGGACATGCAATATATGATTAGAAAGCTGATAGAAGAGTATCAAGAATGGGGCCTGAGAGTTAATATAAATAAAACAAAATATCTATGTGTAGGCAACCAGAACGGAAACTTGGAGGTGGACGATGGTCAGGAAATTCTGCAATGTCAAAAATATGAGTATCTATGCATCACATTCGACAACACCGGAACAGACGTGAAAGAATTAGAAAAGCGAATAGTTAAAGCTAAAAAAGTGATAGGATGCCTAAATGGAATATTATGGAGCAAGGAAATTACAAAGAAGAGAAAATTTAATATATACAAGACAATGATAAAGACCAGCCTTCTATATGGAACCGAGACTTGGAGAATTACAGACAGACAAAAGAAAAAAGTGGAAGCAGTTTGAATGGATGCTATTAGAAGATCCATGCGAATCTCACGAAGAGACAGAATAAGGAACGACACTATAAAACAACAAATGGGTATAGAAGGTACGATAGTCCAGGACATTGAAAAGAAACAACTTACCTGGTACGGACACGTAGAACGAATGCCAAATGACACGTGGCCCAGAAAAATGCTGCACTGGCAACCAACAGGTAGAAGAAAACGAGGAAGACAAAAACTGGAATGGCAGAAGACAATACAAAAGTCCATGAGTGAAAGAAATCTCAGATCAGAGGATTGCGACGATAGAAGAGGATGGAAATTAGGTGTCGGACATCGAAGAAAGATGTTCTAAAACGACATGTATATATATATACTCATAACTGTGAATTGCAGATTTTTAATTTGCGGATTTTTTTTCTATTGGTCGAATATATTTAAACCTGTCAAAGGACCCCGCAATATTTAAATGGAAATTGGTTACCCGTGATATTTGGATGAAATTTAAATATGTTATTGGGGATGCCGTAAGCAACATTTTTTACCATGGGCACAACCCTGTATATATGACAGGTGAGGCGTGGTTAGCTGTCAAATATTGGAATCTTATATCCAAAAGAAGAGTGACTATGGCAGATTTTGATGATCGAAGTATCGATGTCTACTAAGTCGACCAAGTCAAGTCGAAAAATGTCAACCATTTTGACACCTGCCAAAACCCTGTCAAACGGCGGCAATCATCTTTTCCAGTTTTCAATATTTCATGATGTCATTTGACACTTTTAACTTGTATGAAAATTCTGAATTCAAAAATTGAAAAAAAAATGACAGAACTGTCAAAACCTGTCATTTGTTTTAGTAGAAAAAAATACTCTAATCTGATTCTTTTTTGTTTCAAGGTAGTTTATTGGTGATAAAACATTAAACAAAGTTTATGCATGTCTGTTTTTGCTTTTTTGCTTTTTGGTTCATATTGAGTTTGTTTGCTTAGTGAAGTTCTACAACTATAATGATAGAATAATACAATAATACAATAGAACTAAACCTTCACTAAGCAAACAAACTCAATATGAACCAAAAATCTATTAACAGATTCTGACAGTTGTCAAAATGTGACATGCATGAACTTTGTTTAATGTTTTATCACCGCTAAACTACCTTGAAACAAAAAAGAACCAGATTAGGGTATTTTTTTCTACTAAAACAAATGACAGGTTTTGACAGTTCTGTCATTTTTTTTCAATTTTTGAATTCAGAATTTACATACAAGTTAGAAATGTCAAATGACATCATAAAATATTGAAAACGGGAAAAGATGAGTGCTGCCGTTTGGCAGGGTTTTGACAGGTGTGAAAATGATTGACATTTTTCGACTTGACTTTCACCTTAGTAGACATCGATACTTCGATCATCAAAATCTGCCATAGTCACTCTTCTTTTGGATATAAGATTCCAATATTTGACAGCTAACCACGCCTCACCTGTCATATATACAGGGTTGTGCCCATGGAAAAAAATGTTGCTTACGGCATCCCCAACGACATATTTAAATTTCATCCAAATATCACGGGTAACCAATTTCCATTTAAATATTGCGGGGTCCTTTAAATAAAACCGACCAACAGAAAAAAACTCTCAAAATAGAAATCCGCAATTTGCGGTTATGAGTACTAGGCTTTAGTCTGGTTAGCAGGTTTGTTAATGTTGATTTTCCTGGGAGAAAGCCATCTGGTTCTGCAGGTAACACATTTTCTAGTAGAAAATCAGTTGAAGTTGAGGGAGCAACTTATGTTCCCAATATTTTACAAATCCATTATTATTCTGCTTGAGTAAAGCATCTTTTTTATACTTGTCTTCAACTTCTTTTGTGGTGCTCACCATAGTTATTCTCACCTTCTACCAACTTTTTTGAACCACTTTTGGGATAATTCTGTGTACTAATAATCCAATCTGCATTGTACTGGCATCCATTTCTAGTCTTCTACTACTTTCTTGACTGAGCAACTAATTACATCTGTGCTTAAAGGGACCCATACACTACGATGAAACACGACGGTTTTCTTCGCCACGATGAAAAACGTCGTTCTAAAACCAAAGTGTGTCATAGAAAAACACGACGGTTTTCTACAGGGCCCCACAGACTAGGATAAAACACGACGGTTTTCATCGTCACGATGAAACACGTCGTTCCAAAACCGAAGTGTGTGGTAGAAAACCGTCGTGTTTCATCGTCCGTTTAAAATCCAGCCCGAGCTTGATTTTTGGCACGACGGTTTAACATTTCGTACACACAAACGGTTTTCTACCACACACTTCGGTTTTGGAACGACGTGTTTCATCGTGGCAATGAACACCGTCATGTTTCATTATAGTCTGTGGGGCCCTGTAGAAAACTGTCGTGTTTTTCTATTACACACTTTGGTTTTAGAATGATGTGTTTCATCGTGGCAATGAAAACCGTCATATTTCATCGTAGTGTATGGGGCCCTTTATGTGAGATTCTAGATTAGACATTAAGGAAAACTTATAACAATAACATCATCAACATTATACATAATAACAAACAATAAATTACATGGATGTCTAACTTCAACATTAATAACAAACCTTCAAAACTATTTTGCAGTCTTCTCAAAAACATGAGCCTGATATTTGTTCCGTGAACTTCTTGTGACAAAAATGTTCTAGAGGCAATAAGTAAGACCAACTTCGTTGCCATTTCAGAATCTCTTAGACTAGCACTATGGATAGATTCAAAGCTTTTCCTAAAAACTGAATTTTTAGAATTTGCTTTTATCCTATAACTTGTTGAACTGTAATTAGTACTTACTCTACATCCATTGCATTCTGACATTCCTCGTTCCAACTTTCCAAAATATGCCTAATTTTCTGATTGAACTTAATTCCGTCGTCGTTGATATTAAGCTGTTTGATTTCACTAATCAGACCCGCGTAATCCTCGCAAGCGTCGCTGAATTGTTGAGACGCATCGTTTGCCAACGTCGAAGGGCTCTCCGAGCCGGGGTTTTTGATGTCTTGCGATTTTAATTTTAGCCATCCCCTGCCTCTGCCTATACCGCCGGACATTTCACAACAGTTTTATGTATGAGGGGGGCTCAAAAACCTCGAGGGGCACTTGGTTTTTCTTTCGTAAAAAAAAAGTCAAAGGAAAGAAAGGTCAAAAACCGTGAAATGTCTCCCACGGCTTGTGAATTGTATCTCTTTCCCATGCCGCTTTCTTTTCATTCGAGTGTGGTCATGTGCGTGCTGATCTGGTGCCGCTGGTGATTATGGTAATGGTAATAATCTGACTCATAGAGTACTCGGAGCGAAATACGCTCCATTGCACCCAAATTTTCACTCGGGACCGTTCTAGAGTAGTAATACAACTATTGCACAGAAGTTGAGTTCGGAATGGGATTTTAGTGCAGTGCTAGTCAGAGGCGTTTTCTCGCGAGGCGAATGGTTCGAACTACGGTTTGAACCAATTTCTAGATGACGTCATCACTTGTGACCGCGAGAAAATGAAAGGTTTGAACCACAGTTTTATGTCAACGGAGAACAAGCCATGAGCCGGTTCGAACTTTTTTGAACCAGGTTCATTGTGACGTCACTGGTTCAACGCAAGAATGTACAGGTTCGAACCTAATTGAACCGGGTCGAACCAGTTCCACCGCGAGAAAACAGCTCAGGTGTTCGTGTAGTGTAGTGTTGTATCACGTGATGAAGGTGTAATCGGCGGTGTAACACCAAATACACCATCACTTTGTAACGAGTGAACGGCGTCCCACCATCTTTACACCATTTGGACACCAAATCATTTCCAAACGCAAATAAAGTGTATTTTTTTTTACGCCAAAGTTACTCCTACCAATTAACGAACGCCACAGTGTCAATAGTGTAAAAAGTGTCGACACTTTCTACCATTCCGAACTCAGCTAGAGCAAGTTAGGCGTTGGCCCTGACTGTTCTAAGTTCAAGATTTTTGTTAATTGCGTTCGGAGTTACTCCATGTCCTTTCAAAGTTTGTATTTTTTTTATAGGCGATTTCGGCAAGCTTTGGTACATGGTTTGGTACCCTGTTTGGTCTGTCAAATGCATACCAACCAATTTCGGATACGAAAATGATGTCGTCACCGTGACTTTGGTATCCTTTTTGGTCTGTCAAATAGGATACCGTGGTCAGCAGCACGGTTCTTCTATTTGGTATAGTGCTATCTACGTCTATTTTCGTTTTGTCCTGCTCTGGAAAATGTAAATAAATGGAAGTTCATTAGAATTTGAATAATTTGAAATTTTTAACAAATATGTTTGTTTTTTCGCCTTCATCTTCCTGATTTCTCGTATGTTTTGACTGCCAAATAATGTTTGACGATCATTTGAAAAACGGCTCTGAACGACAGATATGAGGTAACTTTAACAGCTTTAAATTTACAGAAAACGCTGAGTTACTCAAAGGTACTGTCTAGACAGTGCTGATTAGTGATTATACATTTTAGTCAGTGCAGTCAGTACCTAGTCACTCCCAAAACTAGAAGAACAACACAAAGTTAGGTTAAGGCTCGTCTCTTCCCCTCTCCTATGACCTACCAAACGAATTCGGAACAAAATGGTATCTTACGTCATTACTATGACGTTGCAGGTACCAATTGGTTAACCAAATGGTATACCAACCAAAGCTTGCCGAAATCGCCTTATGTAAGTTTTTTTTCATATCGATATTAATATGAGAAAATATCGATACTTTCACACGATATTTCTGATCTTTGAAGTGAAGCCTCTTATTAAAAAGTACAGGTATTAAGTACAAGTGTGTCTTTTTCAATACGAATCAAGTACCAGTACCTACAACCTACAAGTATGAGAGTCAAGTTTAAGTATCATTTAAGTAGAAATACTTCAAAAAATAACATAAAGTATTTTTTCTACGAGTGTGCGCAAAGTAACTACTTTGCGCACACTTTTGTGTACGCAAAGAAGCCCTTTCCCAAAAGTGTGCGCAAAGTAACTACTTTGCGCACACTATGCGGGAAAAAAATTTCCCGCACACTTTTTTTTCTGATACCCATAATAAAATCTGGGGACCCCCTATTGGGGGGGCAAAGTCCTGCGACAGTCCCATATTTGGGGGGCGGAGTCCCGCCGGAGCCACTTTTTTGAGGGGCACAGCCTCGCGGGGGGCCCTGTTTAGGGGGCGAAGCCCTGCGAGAGCCCTATATTTGGGGGGCGGAGCCCTGTATTTGACTGCGAGGGCCCCATATTTGGAGGGCGGAGCCCCGCGGAGAGAGGCCGAATTTTTTTTTGCCGATTTAGATATACCTAGTTAGTTACAACAAATTGTTTTTGATGCCTATAGAAATTAAAAATTTAAAAAGGAAGTATAGTTATTTCACTCGTAGAAAAAATATTGTTCCTAATACGTGCGCAAAGTAGTTTTCCCGCACTTAAAGCTTATCCGAATTCCGCTTCGCGTCGTTTGTCTAACTGCTTTCGCGTGCGGGAAAACATAACTTTGCGCACTGATTAGGAAAACTACTATTTGAAGTGAAATTTTTTATACCTCATTCTCACTTGCGAGACATTGGCTCTTTTTTTGACATTGCTTCGACAATTTAGGCATTATGCCTCATTCTCACTTGCGCGAAATTCGCTCTTTTTGCGCGAAATTCGCTCTTTTTTGACATTACTTTAACAATTTGACGTTTTATGCTGACGCTTTTGAGCATGCAATCGAGCTTTTGCGCGCGCAAATGCTTCAAGCGGGTGTTCGTGTTCCAGCCGTACTGCGCTTCGAGAGCTGCTAACTTTTGCGTTCCAAACACAGAACACTGTGCTGCACCGTGCTCGAAGCACACAGCTGGAAAGCGGCTATTGTCGAAGCAATGTCAAAAAATAGCGAATTTCGCGCAAGTGAGAATAAGCTTAAAGCTATATGCCTCATTCTCACTTGCGCGAAATTCGCTCTTTTTTTGACATTGCTTCGACAATTGGACGTTTTATGCCTGTATCAAACGTCAAATTTTCGAAGCAATGTAAAAAAAAGCGAATTTCGCGCAAGTGAGAATTAAGCTAGGCGGCGGTCTGATATTTGGACGACAATGAAGAGTGAATTGGAAAACGCGTCCCGGGCAAATTTCGTTACTTTAATGCCTCATTCTCACTTGCGCAAAATTCGTTTTTTTTGCGCGAAATTCGCTCTTTTTTTGACATTGGTTCAACAATTTGACGTTTTATGCGTGTATCAAAACTATCAAACGTCAGATTGTCGAAGCAATGTCAAAAAAGAGCGAATTTGCATATGATGAATATGAGGGATAGAAAGAGAAAGAGATCGATAAATAAGTATTCACTTCTATCACGTGTACTGTGTTGCACGCGACTTTTTGAAGTGAATACTTCTTTGGCCGCATGAGAGTGATTTTTCAAGGTCGCGTCAGGACACGATTTATAAAATTTTCGTCTCGCAAGAGATGAAGCATATGATGAATATGAGGGAGAGAAAGAGAAAGAGATGGTGAATTAAAGAGAGTACTGTTCTTAACGCATTAATGTAATATGTACAATACATCTCTTTCTCTCTCTCTCTCTCTCACTCACTCACTCTTTCTTTCTTTTCTTTTTAAATATAAAAGTCAAAATGACATTATGTTGGCAATACAAAATGTAAAATTGTCGATGCTTTCAAATTGTATGTCGGTTATTGTTATTTTCCATTCACTAAACAAAGATAGCAATGTCAAAAAAGAGCGAATTTCGCTGTTATAAATACTAGCGCATTGTATAAAATAGTATATTAAAGTATAAGTGGATATTAAGGTCTTTAAAACACGCGCGATTTTCCGAGCACGACGGCGCAGCCGGAGTGCTCGAAATAGAGAAAGTGTTTTAAAGACCAGTTATCCACGAATACTTTACACTATTTTTTTTTATTGGTATATACGTTCAAATTATAAATTACTAATTGTAGAATGCTAAAATTCGTTGACACTTGCTATATTTTATTTGACGTTATCTACAAGTACCTACTCCTGCCAAAAGTGCCAAATCAATAATCAAAAAGTTGACATGACTTTACCTACCTTTCTTGGGTTGTTGATGTTGTCATGATAACTTTAAAACACGCGCGTTTTTTAATGTTGGATTTAAACACGCTGAGGAGTACTTTAAATAGGTAAAATAGGTTATCAATTAAAAAAAGGCTTTTTATACAATGGTACTAGGCTTTAGTTATGACGTCAGAAATGGTGACACAGCAAAACTTGGCGGGAAAATGAATGTTTTCATATTATCGTCGATCTCTTTTAATTGAAAACGTCAATTGTATTTCTTTCAAGAGTTTAGAACACTAGAGCTACTCGCTTCGGTGTAAGTTGACCCCGATTTGAAAGAAACAGATGCCAGCGCATTCGTGTTTTCAAATGGTTGAGTCGGGCTTGAGCACTAGGTGCTAACAACAAACAATTTTCGAAAGGAATAAGGGCGCCACGCCCCGGAGCTGTTCCAGAGCTTCTCCTAGGTGTGAAAGGAACACAACTACAGCTAGAATTGAGGTTGTTCGAGCTCTATTTCTAGTACAGTTCTGAAATAAGGAACGAGTACTATGTGTAAAGTAAAGGGAAAAAATTTACCCATTTAGCTAGAGCAGTAGAGGTTTTAAAAGAATATCGTATCGATAGCTATAAATGAACGCGAAGGAACCTGCACCGAGCACACTTTTTAAATAAACGAAGGGTAAATTCAAATAAGGAGAACTCAGATCATAATGCGAAACCAATGTACCGGACGCACGGTTATAGCGTATTTCATTGCAGCAAGAGCGTTCGAGAGCTGCTAACTGGCCTAACTTTTGCGTTTCAAGCACAGAACACTGTGCTGCACCGTGCTTGAAGCACACAGCTGGAAAGCGACTACAATAAGCTTGACAATGTCCATATTTCACTTCTGCGCATGCTTACTCTAAAAAAAAATCTCTTTCCGAGGTGGAACTTTTGGAGTGAACTCTATTTACTCCACTCCTTATAGTCGAACGCTAATGGAGTCACCCCTAATACACCAAAAAGCAATACCCGAACGGCTGGAGTGCGAATGGAGTCACTCGGAGTACACGGAGTGAGCAAGCCGTTAGTGTCAAATGGTGTCAAGAAAGAACAGCAATAAGTGTCACAAAACAAGTGTCATACTGTCACCTGTCGCTGTTATTTTAGGGCACAGCCATATTTTTGCATTTTCCAATTTTTCCAAAGAAAAACTTTATTACAAATAAAGGTAATTTGGCAATCCTAATCAATTTCGCTAAAACATTTATTTACTTTATCTCTGTCCCTATATAATTTTTGAACTACCAACTATAAACCCAACTTCTATAAATTTAAATTCTACCATTACATAACCACCCTAAAGTCAAAGTCAGCAGTTTTTAGCCCACCAAAAATTAATTTTCTATCTTTCCAGCAGCGCAGAAATGGCCGGAGACAAAGTCAGCACAATCGCTAAACCCAACCTCCGAGGGATGCTCAGGATTCAGATCAGAAATAACTTGATCGTAGCTCTAGTTATGTGCACTGTAGCTGCTACAGCACAAAAAGTATTCTACAATGACAAAAAGAAGGAAACCTATGCTAATTTCTACAAGTGAGTATAGCAATAATTTTATAAACAAATTAATAATCCTAAATTAAATTTTGTACAGTAGATGTTCCTAATGATTTATTAGTACATTGAAGCCTGCTATGGCAATATTTTCCACTAATAGTGTATCAATTTATTTGGAAAATTGTTCAGCACAAAAAGTACACTCACCCTAAACAGGAAATTTTATTTTTTTCAGGAACTATGATGTCAACAAGGAATTTGAAAAGATGAGGGCAAAAGGACTATTCGACTCCTGTTAAACAAATCATCCCACTCGGAATAGAATAAATGTAGATCTTAAATGTTAAGCTGTATCGAATCCAAAATAAAATTGTTCCATACAATTATTAAAATGTATTTAATTCAGAGTGCGGGGCGACCTTTATTCGCCATGTCGTGAAAAGGGCCTAAGGGCATTGTTCAACTTATTCCACACAGGTTTAATTGTTGTTCAATAGATGTCGCCACCATCGACTAAAATAATAATGATTTATTTCTTTTCTATCTGCTACTCTAATGAGTTATTGAAAAGTTTGATGCAATAGTGAATAATTCATTTCTTATTTGTTTTTAATAAAAGGGATTTTATATTTAAATAATAATTATTACTTTTGTGTGTGGTAACTTTCGCCTGTCACAAAAACGTCAAAAGTTTTTCGTAATGGCCGTCGTAGTCGTTGCGCATAGGGGTCCGCGCATGTCCTATGGCGTCGAGTTGTTATTGTTGAGAGCGTTTAATTATTTTTAACAATATTATGTGTGTTTTAAGGGACTTTTTACGCGAAAATCAAACAATTAGTGAGTGTTGAGTTGTGCTAGTTGAGTGCCCTAAAGGATTTAGTTGGTGGAACAACGTTCGCGGTGTCAAAAGTATGTCACTAAAAATGGGGTATATAATGTTTCTTTAGCCAGTAAGCAAATTGATTTGAACGCGGTTTTTGGGTTTATATGTGAAAGAGTCGGCATGGAAATCACACGGCTGGATAGAACGTGAAAAAACGCATCAGAAATCAGTTAAATTTACTTCTATTGCAAAGTGTAAATAGTTTATTTTTCGTTTTGAACACATGGAATAACACTCCCCCGTCAGGTTTACAAAATGGCTGCGATCAGATTCAGCTTTTTATTTCACAACTTTCAGTCGAAATTTTGTCGTTTTTCGTGGGGAAAACGATGGAATTTTGGACGATTTAGCGATTGGGCGCCAAGTAGATTATTTCCGAAACGGCGCCTAAGCGACAAAGTTCGTTTTTGGAAAAACTCCGTCCCGCGATCCAGTACCCATTGGGTTAAGTGGCGGAAGTGCCAAAAAAAATTCAATTTTCTTGTTTCCCATACAAATTTGGGCTCCAGTTGGGTCGAATTTGTTTGTAGTTTGCTTAAAATTGGCTTTATCAGTTACCAAGCTAAACTTTGACCATGGATAGGTACCCTATAAGGGAGACCTTGAAGACCCTCTAATTAATTTCACTAATTAATTCTACTTGGTTTTATATCAGTCTATCAACAAATAATCGGTTTTGGTATTTAATACTTACGAATTTTTTCTTTGGTCTATTTTTTTAATAGATTTTAAAATAAATTGTTATTCAAAAAATAAGGCCGTAATCAAAAATCACATGTCCTCAAGGAGGGTCTTTGACCCTTAGATTTTACTCTGCTTCTTAAAGAATATTCTTAATTGTTTTATGATAATTATTTGGTAATTTGTGGTACCTACTCACTGTCACTATCATAGTATTCAGATTAAAATTTAACAATTTATTCATGTATAATTCTAGGTTCCTCCATGCATTCAATTAGAATGTGTTTTTTTTTTTACTTAATACCTATTTATTGACCCTAATTATAAGACATAACGAAATTGTACATAAAATCCTAGGGTTGGACAACTTCTTCAAAATGTGTAAACAAGTTTTATCAAATATTTATAGGATTTTTTAAATTTTTGCAGATTTTATAAAATATCAGAATATTTTTAGATATTCCAGAAGACTTTCTCCTAGGATTTCTAAAAATTTAAAAGAAATTTCAGGAATTTGAATAAATTTTTTTTTTGCCACAAACTAAGGATGCATGTTATCTGCACCAAAACAATTACCTACCTACATATTCACTTTTTTAAATTTTATAAAATATCAAAAGATTCTTATTAGGATTCCAAAAGTTTTTATAGGATTTCTAGGGATTGACAGAGATTTTAGTAACTTCCACAATAGATTTTTTGATTTTTTTTCAATGGCATTAATGAGGACATTAAGTCGGCCTCAATTTCAAGCCACAAATTCGAGACGCATGCCATCCGCACCAAAATAATATTTACTTTTATAGAATTTCAAAAGATTTTCATTGAGATTCCCAAACACTTTCTATTCTAATGATTAGAAGATATTTTGGCAACTTCTGATAGATTTATTTATTTATTTAGTCTGTTTAAAGTTCACACTACAGAAAAATACTAAATGGTACACTGAAAATGAACAAATTGAACAATTACAATAGTTAAAATAGAAATAGAATATGAATATAAAATACAAAATACAGGGTGTCCCAGCCAAGAATGACCCATTTTAAATGCTTATAACTTTTAAAGCAGGTGTGCTAGCTACCTGCCGCTTGCGCCATTCGATTTCTCTTGACCTTTTTTAGTTGGTTGCAAAATTTTTTGCCTCTTATACAGGGCAAGTAAAAAAAATCCATTTTTCAACATCGAAATTCTCCACTATTTTTAATGGAACGCCCTGTATATCACAACGTCAAAAAAAAAAGAGTCATGTTTAAGGTATTTATGTACCAATAAACATCGTCCTTTAAACTTGAAGTTTTAGCCATAGTCGGAATGCTTTGGTGGTAACATGGTCGATGTGATTATTGAAAGTCACTGTTTTATCAAAGATGACACGTAGATCCTTTATTGGGTTGACAGTTTCTAGCTCTGTGTTATTTATTCTGTAAACAGTGATAACAGGATTTTGGATTCGGTAAAATGACATATGTTTACACTTCCCAGCATTAGGATGAAGGTGGTTTATTCCAGGGGCAGTCAACAGTTCACTCTTTAAGGAAAATTAATCATTTTTCTTTTCTATTCCAGGCTTTTGAATGTTCTTTATTCTTTTATAAAAAAAAAAATTGAAGGATCAAAAATTCAAAAGCCTGGAATTATGAAAAATTTACTCTAAAGAGAAAGGAGAAATTTAAGAAAAATTTATAATTTTTCCTTTCTATTGCAGGCTTTTGAATGTCCTTATTCTTTTATGAAAAGAAAACAGCTCGGAAAACAGATATTCAAGAGCCTAGAATAGTCAAAAATTGACACTAAACTAAAAGAGAAATGGAAATAGAGAGGAGAAATTTAAGGAAAATTGATCATTTTTCTTTTCTATTCCAGGCTCTTGAATGTTCCTTATTCTTTGATAAAAAGAAATTTAAAGGAAAACAGAAATTCGAGAGCCTGGAACAGTCACAAATTGACACCAAAGAAAAAGGAAATAGTAATAAAGAGGAGGAATTTAAATTTTTAGGTACCAGCGCAGATTTAATATCACTTCATGATTTTTTGATTGATTTATAAGATTTAAAAACTATTTTACCCAGATTTTTTTTTTTTCATTTTTCCTGAGGTGACGTCTGATCATGTTTTGAACAGTATAAAGAAACTAAAACCCAAGAAGTCAGTAGGTACTAACAACATACCTGCATACTACTTCAAGGGGGGTGCTGATGTACTGGCAAATCCACTCGCCCATATTTTAAACTGTACCATAAACACTGGTATCTTTCCAGAAGTATTTAAGAAATATGTTGTTATTTCATTACATAAAAAGGAAAACACAACAGATGTTGAAAACTATAGACCATTATTAGTATTCTTAACCCCATTGCTAAAATTTTTGAAATTTTATTGTGTCACTTGTTTTGTTTGAACATCATACTGTTAGGCAGCAGCATGGCTTCATCTTTAGCAGATCCACAGTATCCAACTTATGTGAGTTTGCGAATACAACCTCTGCTGCGATTGATAGTGGTTTGCAGTTGGATGTGATCTATACTGATGCATAGAAGGCGTTCAATAAGGTTGATCACCACCTACTTCTCCAAAAGTTGATGCTTACCGGATTGACTGGAAAATCTTTTAACCTCATCAAGTCTTATTTGTTATACAGGCCTCACTCTGATCACATTTGCATAAATGACCTACCTGACTGTATTGAAAATTCGGACTCTTTGTTGTTTGCTGATGACTTCAGAGTGGTCTCTTAGCAGGCAGATTGTCATCAGGTTCTCCAGAACGATTTATCGAATGTTAGTGCCTGGTTTGCTGACAACAAAATGTTTATGAATGTCAGTAAATGCTTTTGTATAATGTACACAAGGCGTCATCAATATCTAGAATACAGTTATAATTTGGTAACAGAAGAAGGGACCACTGTGAGGACCTGGGAGTCACTTTCCAATCCAACATGAAATTTAATTTGCACTATCAGAAAATTGTTAACAGGGCATTTAGAGCCTGTAGCTGCATCACTAGAAATACCAAACATTTTCGTAGAGTTAATACCAATGACATCTTAACACAGATAGACACCGCATCTCATTCATAAACTGATGTTTGTTGGGATGACAAGACCCCCCATGGGCCAATGTAACGTTTTTAATTACTTTGGATTAAAAAGATGTTATTGCTTACTGCAGCTGTTCATCGGAAAGTATTTATGGTCGTGCTAGGGATATTTACTAAGGGCGCCACGAAGTTTTTATTTATAAGGTCTCAAATTTCGAAATAGACCTCAATATAAAATCTGAAATATTAAGTATAAAAAGAAATAATACAGCAAAGCTCTCCACTTAATTATGTTTAATAAAACTTTAATAAAAAATTATAAAATCTAGTATGTTACTTTAATGAGAATCATAAATGTAAGAATAATTTGATTCCAACCCAGTACTACACTTAATTAAATATTATTGTGTAAACGAGTGTGTAAAGTAATCATAATGATCGATAATTTTTATTAAATTGGACCCTTTTTTACTGGTCTATCTGCCCTTAAAACTCATATGCTCAACCACACAGCAAACTGAACATAGAAATGAGTCATTCCATTTATTAGGGAATGCTCAATAAAAAATATACAATATAAAATGACTTCCTTGAGTCTTCTGCTCTGACAATTCACATGCTGAGCCGAACATCGAACTCAACATGGAAATGAGTCATCCCAATTGGGTAATGCTCAATAAAAAATATAAATTAAAAGGTAAAATTTAAACTTAATGAAACCTGTGGTCACTACTTCCAATTCGAGATGTCATCAGGGCGATAGGCACTATCCATCAAAGACCATGGAAATTACTCCACAAGTAGGGACATGGGAACCTAAGGGAAGCATGCCATCTTTATTGAACTGGCCCAAAACTAGGCCTGGATGTAGGGCTAGGAGTAGGACCCTATCAGAAAACTAAATTACTGATGGTCTCTTTTTTATTAACACAAAGGTGCTCAAGGGGGGCCATGGTAGGAATGCATCAGTGGTGTAAACAACACCCGTTTTTCCCTCTGAACCCGTCATTCACTTGACAAAAATAATGAAATAATGACACTGGTGCAACTCGTTTATCTATCTATCTGCCTCTAACTCATATCATATTTCGATGGAAGCATTGACATGCCAATCGATTTTAGCGTGTGTTCCGCCTGTTTTACAAACCGGCGTTGTCAGTAATCGTTCCTAGTCTTGAACCTCCAACTTTTTGAAGCAAAGTCATAACAGGATAAAATATCAATCCTTAATAATTTGGCCACCAAATTGGAGGGGATATACCAGTGGTGGATTACTCTCCTAGATGTTGGCGACAAAAAATTTTGT